CAGTGTCATTCATCAGAACCTCTATACTCCACTAGCTCGCTAAATATGGTATATTAACAAGTCAGTCATTCTGGAAAAATGCTAAGAAAATGAAACTTTATTCATAAGTTTGTAAGCAAAGTAAACAACATATTTGCTTGGAAATAAACTGCTGAAGATATGACAGAAACAACAATATTGGAGAAAGAATACATTAAGAGGTGGATATAACAAGAAATGTAGTTTCAGCTTCTAGTTAAAACAAGGGGACAAAAAGCACAAACACACCTTGAAAAGGTATCACATAACGTTGCACATACATGTTTTCAGACGTGTTTCACTTTGTTCCTGTTGAGGCAAGAAGAGTCAGAGCCCCACTGGTGTATCCCACTGCGCTGCAGTGTGTTTTTCTCTCTGCCTTCATCAACTGCCATTCAGTAATAAGAGATGAAAATTGGAGAAGAAAGTCAAAAACGTATTTCTTCTTACTTTGGATCATATAAGTGGCTGAAATCACGTAAGACAAGAAGAGATTTCAAGTAAGGCACAAACTAACCTCAGTGAGGGCCGGTCTGTGGATACAGTGCACGTATGGTTTTGGCTCTTGTTCAATTTCTCCTTGAAATGTTTTGTAACAGACTGCACAGTCTACCAGCGGCTGCATAAGTGCACAGACACAAAACAGCATGGACCAGTTAGAGCAGGCAGTCGTCCTCGTGTTCCACTCAAAAATAAAACCAAACTCACTCTGTTGTTTCTGAAGTGACATGCTGTAGAGTCAGTTGTTCCTTTTTCACAGTTGGTGGCTTTAAGGTAGAAGTGATGGTAGATGTAGCTCACGTCAAAAGCAGCCTGAGGAGAAAGACAAGCATGATTAGATCTGAAACATTCTCAATCATCCTCATAGGGGGAAGAAAGAAATCAGTGCTTTGAGGATTAGGACATTTCCTGAGACATTTGCTCACAGAAAGTCACCTCCATATGAGCCACCACCACAGCACAGTAAACAGTCTTATGTAAAACCCGTGACAGTGTACAGTACCTCAATGTCTGACTTTGTGACACTTTTGAAGAAGAGAAAATGATGCTGGACTGCAGGATGAGAGTTGACCTTCTCCAGGGCGAGATCCACTCCTTTCTTGTACGTTTCAGGAAGTGTACTGTAAGCCTCTTGTGCAGTAGAGGGAAAGAACAAAGCTCCAATGCTCAACAGCAACAGTGCCAAAGCAGCCATCCTTTCCCGTTTCTGTAACAGTGGGAGCAGTGTTACGGTGCAGCACACCACCCACTCTCTGCTGTTTTCCCAGAAGAAGGCAGAAAATCCAGCCCCCTTTTGCCTGGGGTAAACAATCTAGAAACTTATGGCAGAATGTCACGCCTCTCTGTTGAGCCACAGTGGGCTTCACCATAAGAATCTGGGAGAACTTTGTCTTCCTTTGATCAGTATTATTCTTCAAAATTGTTTTCACACCAATCCAGGCTCACTAGGCCATAAAACACAATTTTATGTGGAATATTTTAATAACTACTAAATAGATTGCCACACATGCATCTCCCACTCACAATGAATTGGCAATCCCTGAATGTTTTCTGGCTTTTTCCCTGGATGGATGGACAGATCAAGGGGTCACCAGCCTTTGTCTCTCTTTGGGGTGAAATACTTCTAATTTGAAAGTCACAGAGCTCAGTTAAAAGACACAAGGTCCAGTACAGTAGCAGTGCACAAAAGGTGCAACTGTGAGTTGTGGTATATACTGTAAATAAAACCGCCTTACCTTGTTTCAAGTAGTTTTACAGTACACTGAACACAGAAAATGAGCCAGGATAAATAGAAAATATTTTTATTTGTCATCACTATTTGAACCATGAATATACATGGGAACATCAGCAATAGCCTCTTGGACTTCGTATTGCTTTTGGACGTGGATCAACACTTCACAACTTTGACAGATATTCAGACAAACACAGACAAACCATCACTCCCCATCCACACTAAGCAAACAAGACGGACACCGTACTCCATGTCTTACTTCTCACAAACATCCCCTTTAGTGTCAATGTCATGAGGCAGCCCATTGTGTCTACATAAAGAGGATTTGTTTTGTTTTTTTACTTATTTCAAATAAATCAGCAATAATGTCTCAGATTACAACAGATAATAGAGAAATGTTTGACTTATGAGCAAGTCAAAGTGCAAAGTACTGTAACGCGTCATCTGTACAAACACAACTGATCACTTCATGATTTCCACAGGTGCTCGAGTCTGTGCGGCTTTGTGATACTAAACAGGCACAAGTTGACAACATCCGGGCTGAAATGAGACAGGTCAGGTGGAGAAGTGTCCAAAACACATAAGCTATGTGAGAGTAACAGAGGACCGACAATGTGAATTATTTGACACAGTCAAAGCTTCGACTAATCCATGTCACACTGATACAACGTGACATAAAACGAGACTGAACATTTTTAAAGCCTACCCTCCCAGTTATACATGAATAATGAGACTGTCCACAGTGCTTCTAGAAACATGTTCCACCAAATTCAGTTTATGCCCCCCCCAAAATGAAAGTAATGATAAAATAAGGAATGTTATATTGTGAAAATTTGTTAATTGAGGTTGAAACTTGAAAACCGAAAAGGCTTGAGATGACTGAACTCCATCTTATTGTTCTGAGCAAAATTCTATTTACATGTTTTTGGCACTTGAATATTTTGCCTCTAACGGGACATGAGCAAAAAATAAAATGAAAACAATAAGTAAAAAAATCTAGTTTCTTATGGACATGATAGATTATCAGGTGAGGATGAGAAACTATCTGTGCACACCAGAAAACGCATTACTACTGCTTTTACCTCTGGGCCTGGTGAAGAGGATGGCTGTAGACCTGGGAACCCAAAATGTACCTGAAAACATCAACCATCTAAAGAATATTAAGGTGAATAAGCTTGCATGCTTTTAAGTCTAAGTGAAGTGGTTCTTGATCTAGAACTGGTCTGATGTGGTTGAAACCACCTTTTTATTTCACAAAAAGTGGGATTCAAACTGAAGAAAAATTTAACTAGGACATTACATGTGCTTTCACAACAAGTGTTATAATAATTATAATAAATGTATCTTTGTATTCTGTTGACCTTTGGTGATCCTTGAACAGTTAGTGTTTGTAGTTGCTCATAAACGCAGGTACAGTAATTATCTAATCAAGGTTTGTACAGACCATCACATACTTTCTTGTAAGCTGGAGAAACTTTTTCATGGCTGTGGAAAACTTTACTGGGAGCAACAGATAGTTTCTCTTACTCACGTGAAACGTGTTATTTTTTTCTGGGTTTATATCCCTTAAGTGGCTCTGTACTTAGAAAAAAATAAATAAATCAGAGCAAGACCCATAAATTAAGGCCACAAAACAAACTCTACATTAGTACATTAGTGCCCTACACGTGTGCGTGGAGACATTTAGACTACAGTTATTACCCCACTGGTATTGTTCTACTACAGAAATGTGTCCTAATCAGAAACATGATGGCGTTAGTGTAAGGAGAACTTGAATTTCTGTGTACAGTTTTTCCAGTTGGGATGTCAATTCACCGTAGGCACAGAATCTGACATAAAAGGCCAACTATGATTTAAACTGCTGTGTCTGAAAACAAAAACAAATGGCTAAACAAAGACAAACTAAAAATCAATCACTGGCAGTCATTTAAAAAGCAAATGATATTTACAGGATTTAAGAACACTCTGAGGCGGTAAAAAGAATAGAATAAAATACAGTCGCTGTCCAGATTTGGTGTCTTAAAGTGCTACAAGCGCAAGGAGGCGAATAAAGTGATCAGAATGAAGAGAAAACTCTTATTTCCTTTCTAAGGCGCTTGGTGAACTTAAAACTTAAACATCAATAACTCAGCATGTTCATGTAAAGGAATGTCTCCTTCACATATTCAATGTGAATCAGCACAAAATTTCAGGGCTAAAAACAAATCCATCTCGCAAGTCTGTCTACTGGCATCTAATTTTGAGCTTGAGATCACATCATCTGATTTAGACTCTTGTGCACCCTGAAATATATATGCAGTAATAAAATACTTAAAATGTATTTAAAAATAAAAATTTTATCTGTGAATAAATGTTGGATCTCTTCAGTTGGATTTCATCGTTCGTGCCACAGAGTGCTGATAGTCAGCCTCCGTCAAATTGATAACAACCTACTTAAATAGTGAAATGTTTGGTTAAAGTAACAGCCAACAAGGCGTCTAACGTGCTGTGCGATGATGATGAAGAGGGCCGGCAGCACACAGTGATGCGGCATCAAAACTCTGAGTGTTTCAGCCTGGAGGGGACTATGCATCCCACATCTCAGTGAGGGCGTCTGATAAGGTTTGGTGTCCACTAAAGGTATATTAGATATGCGACTCGTTTTGGGCTACACAGGCATGTGCATCTCCGAGTATTCGTCATGACACTCGCGCTCGTCAAACGTCGGCTCTGCATCATCGGCATCCAACTAGAAGAGAGAGGGAGAGTGTCAATTTTTTGAATTTCACATTATATATAAAAACATTTTGCTACAATAACTGACATTTGCTTAAAGGAAAAACTTACTGTCTGTATTTCTGTAGCTCTCAAATATTTAATCTACTTAGGCGGTTTCTTGCATTTCCCAAAATACCTTTTCAATAGCTAATTTGGCACATAGCTCTAGAAATTATCTGCTTGATGCCCAAACCTCTATGGTTGCACCATGTATATCCCTACTTGACATCAGATTATGAGCAATTAAGCACAGTGGAGCCCCCCCCACTGACCATTGTTATGTTATTTTGTTCTGAACAAATTATACAGTGTGCATCAGTAAAGATTTTCAACTTGAATAATTCGATTCAATGCATGATTTAAGTGCCACCTTAACTTTTTTAGGCAGTGTATTTTCACATAAACTTATCCCTCTAGTTCCTACAAAACTTGAGTACAAATTTAAAAGTATATTATACATAAGGGCATTCGTGACTTTCTGGCAGTGAATCTATCCTTAGAAGGACTCGCTTTGTAAAGGATTTTTAAAGGAATTTCTACAAAATTTAAAGGATATTCTTTGTAATAGTGCTGTTGTCTTAGAACAGAACTGCTCTGAGTTAGAAAGATGCATAAAATATACAACCTAACAATGGACAGTAACTATTTCCTTTAACTTTAGCAAAAATAATTTTATATACAGCATAATGTGAAAAGCTGCAGCTGGCGCCACGGTGCAGGTATATAAAGCAGCACATTGCGCCCCCTTGTGGTTGACTTACACATGCCATCTCTCTGACTGTGAAGATGCGTTGGAGCAGGAACATCTTGACAGGAACAGTAAGGACCAGGACGAAGGGGAAAGCCAGGGAAGCCTGTGTCGACATAACAGCCCAGAGAACTGCCAAACACACCAGCTGGATGCAGGTGAACAGATGCATGCGCAACGTACGGACCTGGAGGAAACAGATCAGTTATAAGATCTCTCACCGACATTAAAGTGGGACAAGACAAGCATAGGTGATGCAAGAGTGTAAATTAATCATAAAAAAAAAAAAAAATCACTTTTGTCATTTCAACTCTTGCAGTGCTGTTTTAAAAGCAAACAAATGTTCAGACATTTTGAGGTTCACGGCATACAGTGGTTTAAGTAAGACTGCTTCTAGAACTTAAACAATTAGTCAAGCAAAGATGCCAAGCATTCTAAGTAAATAACAGACTCCAGGTTTCCTGTTTATCTGTCTTTTTTAATCTTTGGAAATATCTTTGGGTTTTAAACCGTTGGCTGAACAAAGCAAGAAATTTTAAGACACTGCTGTGGGCTCTAGGAAGTGATTAAAAAAAAAAAAAAGATCAAAATATTGACTAAACCATTAAAAAGTTAATCACAGCAATCAATCAGCTTATTATTATTGCTAAAGACTTGTATAATGTTTTTATTTAAAAAGCTACTGTATGTAACTTTTTTCACATATTTTTGTTGTAGAAATCTGCTCCAAAATTCATCTTAATGTGGAGAGGTGCTGTCAACGCCTCCTGTGTCCCAGACTCACTGAGCAGCACCGGCAGCAGTGCAGAGACATTAGCTTCTAGAAGGTTTTGAATGGGACTGACCTCACTGACCAGTCAGAGATTTTCTGCTTAATCAGTAAGCTTTGCTGCATTCTCATTTATTGTAATTTAATAACAACAAATATCTGAAGAGCTGGGCAGAGCGTGGAAGATCTTACTGAAACATAGTGGATCAGGGAGACGAAGTACTGGGAGGAGCAGAGGATTGGTTTGGAGTTTCATGTTAGTGCTATCTCACATTAAATACGGTAGCTTTAAGATGTATTTTAATCCTCTTCATGTTTTCTAAAAAGGAGCACTTGTAATCCAATACAGTGCCTTGCGAAAGTATTCGGCCCCCTTGAACTTTGCGACCTTTTGCCACATTTCAGGCTTCAAACATAAAGATATAAAACTGTAATTTTTTGTGAAGAATCAACAACAAGTGGGACACAATCATGAAGTGGAACGAAATTTATTGGATATTTCAAACGTTTTTAACAAATAAAAAACTGAAAAATTGGGCGTGCAAAATTATTCAACCCCCTTAAGTTAATACGTTGTAGCGCCACCTTTTGCTGCGATTACAGCTATAAGTCGCTTGGGGTATGTCTCTATCAGTTTTGCACATCGAGAGACTGAAATTTTTGCCCATGCCTCCTTGCAAAACAGCTCGAGCTCAGTGAGGTTGGATGGAGAGCGTTTGTGAACAGCAGTTGTCAGTTCTTTCCACAGATTCTCGATTGGATTCAGGTCTGGACTTTGACTTGGCCATTCTAACACCTGGATATGTTTATTTGTATTTATTAGTCATTTAGGTCAACATTGGATCATTCAGAGATCCTCACTGAACTTCTGGAGAGAGTTTGCTGCACTGAAAGTAAAGGGGCTGAATAATTTTGCACGCCCAATTTTTCAGTTTTTTATTTGTTAAAAAAGTTTGAAATATCCAATAAATTTCGTTCCACTTCATGATTGTGTCCCACTTGTTGTTGATTCTTCACAAAAAAATTACAGTTTTATATCTTTATGTTGTAAGCCTGAAATGCGACCCTTTTTATGGATATCTTTAAGAAATGGCTTTCTTCTTGCCACTCTTCCATAAAGGCCAGATTTGTGCAGTATACGACTGATTGTTGTCCTATGGACAGAGTCTCCCACCTCCGCTGTAGATCTCTGCAGTTCATCCAGAGTGATCATGGGCCTCTTGGCTGCATCTCTGATCAGTCTTCTCCTTGTATGAGCTGAAAGTTTAGAGGGACGGCCAGGTCTTGGTAGATTTGCAGTGGTCTGATACTCTTTCCATTTCAATATTATCGCTTGCACAGTGCTCCTTGGGATGTTTAAAGCTTGGGAAATCTTTTTGTATCCAAATCCGGCTTTAAACTTCTCCACAACAGTATCTCGGACCTGCCTGGTGTGTTCCTTGTTCTTCATGATGCTCTCTGCGCTTTAAATGGACCTCTGAGACTATCACAGTGCAGGTGCATTTATACGGAGACTTGATTACACACAGGTGGATTCTATTTATCATCATTAGTCATTTAGGTCAACATTGGATAATTCAGAGATCCTCACTGAACTTCTGGAGAGAGTTTGCTGCACTGAAAGTAAAGGGGCTGAATAATTTTGCACGCCCAGTTTTTCAGTTTTTTATTTGTTAAAAAAGTTTGAAATCCCACTTGTTGTTGATTCTTCACAAAAAATTACAGTTTTATATCTTTATGTTTGAAGCCTGAAATGTGGCAAAAGGTCGCAAAGTTCAAGGGGGCCGAATACTTTCGCAAGGCACTGTATATCTAAGGAAAAGAATTTTATTTCTCACACTTAAAAACCATCATTTCATGCAAACTCAGATCAGATCAGATCAACATAAAATTACAAACTCAGCGAGTGCATCTCACCTTGCGCACATAGCTGTGGTCAGGGTGATACTTTGGTGGCATGAGCAGCAGCATCATCCGTTCGGTCAGCTGGATGCCGTTGAGTGACATGACACCCATGTAGAGGAAGATACCAAACAGCACGGCCAGGGGGATCATCCGCAGCAGGTCACCTATCACAATGGACAGGCCTGGGGAGAGTCGAGTGTAAAAGATTAAAAATACAATGAAATCAAGCATGAAATGCTAAATAAAATGTGATTTTTAAAGGTAATAAATGTTAACAGGACACAGGTGATACAGAAACGAGCAGCAGGAAGATTTAAGTGCCTGCCACTCACCAACCATGATGGCCACCAGGAGTCCTGTGACCCTCTGGTCCTTCACCTCCTGGATGCGAGGCTTGTCTCCAGGGGCGACGGCCTTACTCATGACAGTGAGGGCGTTGACATGCGTCACTGAGCGGACAGTCGCAGCGGCCAACCACGGCAGGCCAAACAGAGCTGAGGTGCCGCCCAGCACCACAATCAGCAGCAGGTCCAGATGGAAACCAGAGCCCTTCACCAGCATCCGCTCCTTCTTACTCACTATCAGGCTGCAGGAAGTCGAGGAGAAACACAGACATAAACAACCAAGAGCGAGCTTGAAAGAAACCTTCAATCAAACCAAACTGAATGTTAACATGTAATTATGTGTTGACCCTAACATGACATGACTGCAGCACCACTCACGAGGTGATCTGTGTCTCCATAAAGATGAGGATGAAAACCAGCAGAGCAGGCAAACAGCAGGCAAACATCATCCAGATGGGGAATTCACCGTTACTACCCAGTGGACTGATGATCCAGCCACGTTTGTCAGGACTTGTCACAGAGAAACCTCTGGGAACGCTCAGTTTCTGGACAGAGGATGAACACAAGTCTGAATCCGACAGAGAGGAAGGACTGCATTGTATAAGATAAGATTCTGAGGTAATACTGAGTCTTACTTGTGTGTATGTGTCTTCTATGCTGTAATCCACCAGGACCATGATAAGGATAGCAATTGGTACTCCAAAATCTCCAATAATCCTGCGTAACTAAACACCACAAGAAGGGTCCATTTGAGGAGAAGTGGCTGCTTCATGTATGTATCGTGTCAAACAATTACAGAAACATTTACAGTACCGTAACACAGGCTACTCAGTGTAATTAAAAATATTTAAATTGGAGCATTTTAAAATTCAAAAAGGTCTTTTTAGTGGCTTGACAGGAAAGGACGAAGGCTGTATGATACGATGGAAAAACAGTTAATAAATGGAGCTTGTGATGAGAGTTCTGGTTAGTAATGCCTCCAACTTCAAGAATGAATTTTAACACTTAAGTCAAACTCTCAACAAAAACAAGTCCTCAAAGGAACAGTTTGACATTTTTTTTAAAATACAAGAAATGTTCCTCTGGTAAACAGGGAGACCGGTTTTCTGGATTGTTGGATGCAAAAACTGACTGTGCTGATTCTAAAAGCATTTTGATAACAGCAGGTTAGCATATGGTTAGCAGGAATCGTGTTCCAGTGAATTTTTGCTCCTCACCCTTCCAGGGAAGAACGCACTGTTCTTGAACTTGCGCAGGTAGAAAGCGATTAAAAACGTCCCCGCCATGAGAACCAGAGAGAGCAGCGCAGTGTTGGGTTCGCCTTGCAGCTTCACCGTCACAGGCAGCACGGTGCTGTTGTGTAGCACCAGTGTGACATTTTCTGCTGAGGCATCTCCCTCCGTGCTGTTGTTGAGAGAACAGCGTTTCAGTGGGTGCTCCTTGAAAATCTGGCCAACAAAATGAAAGAGGCTTGTATTAATGCACATCCCAAAAGAATTCATACATACATACATACACACACACACACACACACACACACACACACACCCTGAGTATTTTCCTTAGAGGGATTTTCATGCATTACACTTTTAGGTATCACAACCACACTTTCTGTAAAATTAGTTTAGCCTGTAGCCAAACACCTTTAAAGTCTTTTTTAAAGTTGTTTCTTGGTCTTTTTAGCTTTTGTTTGGCAATGAGACAGACAGGAAAGCAATGCAACAGCGATCAGCAATAAAGGAACATGGCCGGACTTGAACCAGACGTTGTGCACACACATGCATCCATACAGGAGTCTTAACTCCCCATCCATTTCACTGTCAAGACCAATTAATTACAGAAGATTTCAGATGCTCTTGTTCGAGAAACAGTTCAACCTTGAGTTTTGAAAGCCGGCCAAAGATTAGTCTGATCGGTATAGAGACGTAAACCCCTAGTGTGCTAACAAAAGCTTTTTGTAATCAGGAGTTGTTATTAAGTCTCAGGTGTACCTGGCCAAGTTTGATGAAGGTTTCGCAAATGAAGATGAGTGAGATGAGGAAGGAGAATATCTCCTGGGTGAAAAGGGAGACGAAGCGGACCAGGAAGCTTCCTTCGCAAGCCACCATGATCACCACGATGACGATGAGCCAAAACCCAATCCAGACACGACCTGTTAGGTACTCTATGTCATTTGCTTTGCAGAACTGTGGAGACATTAAACATTATTTAAACACTGGAAATTTTAACAACAATGCGTTTTCTCAAACAGTTTCTAACTATGAGTGACTGAACTCTACACAGATAGTTTTCTACCAAAGTAGGAACCATTTTAATCACCTCATACGAGTGTTCTGTATTTGTTTTGTGTGTGCTTTGCTTATTAGTCTGAATATTTTCCAGAACAATTATTAATAAATAATACCTAAGGATGCCTTATAGTCAAAGTTTTCAGTGGCTTTACACAAACATCCATAAATAAGAAAGTAATGATGTACTAGATTTTTAAAATGTCGGTCGTAGTTAGTCAAGGGGCACGCATCATAAGGTTTAAAGTACAGTAAGCTGATTTACTATTTATCATCTTACACTGTAAAAGGCTTCTTCAAAGACCAACAAGGGACCAGAGAATCCTATGACCAGTAGTGGCTGAGCTCCGAGCAAGCAGAAGATCACACCCTGCATTGCTGTGGATATGATCAGCTCAGAAACACCAATCAGACCATCTGTCTTCTCACCTAGAAAGAGACACACACATCAAATTAATACCATAGTGAACAGATTGTTAACTCGATCATCACTGACAAAACAAACAGGAGTTGACATATCAAACGATGGAAGACTGTGTTAACAGTGAACACAAGGCAGCTCAACTCTTGGATTTCTCATGTGCAACTCACCCAGTAGGCCTCCGAATGTTATGGCTGGAGACAGGGCAGCAAAGTAGATAAAGATAATGGCAGCCATGCACTGACTGCTCAGGACGTCCTTGAAGTCACTGATGTACTTTGGGTAACGTCGCTGCACGTCTCGTATCACCCCGCCAAAGGGACGTCCAGTGCGCTCTAGAGGGTCATCAGACTTTTTTAAAGGCGTGAGGAGGGCCACTGGGTGATGGAAAACAGCAGATTTAATAAGTGTACTTCAACATAAAGTCATGTAACAAAGGCTGCAATTTCCTTTGCTTCAACCACTGGTTCAGGAGGAAGTGCTTACCTTTCTCTTCAAGGCTCTTAGCTTCCTTGTCCAACAGCTTGACCTCTTGTTCCTCCCTCTTGCGGAGCATCTCCCTCTGGAAGCGAGCGACAGAGCGCAGAAGCTCATCTCCTCTCATCTCTGAAGGCGGCAGCACAATGCTACAGTCCAGGAAGTTGTTGATGGCATTCAGCAGGTCCTGCCTCTCATCCGCCAGGTAGGCTGCCTCATGGAATTGCTTGATGGAGATTCAGATTTAAAATTTTAGAAGATTTAAAATTCTCAAGACTGGGAGAAAGGTCCCTTGACGTCTACACCTTACTAACCTTGTCAGACATGAGTGTGGAGATGGAGCGTCCTATCTGGTGGTAGTCCATGCTGCTGGTCGGGGGTCCCAGCAGAACAAACAGGAACCTGACAGGCACAGGGACCTCCAGGACAGAGTCCAACTCCACCGCCTCCTGCAGCCGCACAAACGCCATGGTGGGCTGCTTCAGGAAGTCCACACTGCCTGGAAGACAACGGGAAACGAGAGTCAACATGCAGACAGCACCACACACAATGAAAGATGAAGAAAGACGAGTGATTTACGTTGTTCAGGTGTGTTTTAAGTAGTAGCTCTTGTTTGAATGAGGTGTTTTTGCCCTTTATGGCATTAATAACTCACCAACAAGGACAACTGTGGCCTCAGCATTTTCAGGAATCTTCTCCAGCAGTTTCAGCTCATGCTTGGATTTGGACCGATGCATACCGGACACAAAGGTTGGCTCCTTCTGCTGGAAACAAAAAGGAAGGAAGAGGAAATCAGGATGATGAAGCACACATATAACTGGGATTTGTGGCAAACACCTGATATCCAGACTTAACCTGTACTTCGTTCTTCTCCATGTCAATGCATGTTTCTGTGTTCCCAGCAGAATGGATGGTGCTCATAAGGGGGTCAGTAACAGAGGGCTCTGACTGATGGGTGTGGTTGGCACCGTGGTGCTGTGTTATCAGACTGCCCAGGCTGGCTGCCGAGATGTTCCTGGGGAAAGGGTTACTACTGTGCTCCTTCTCATCGCTTGGGTGGCTAAAGGAGGCAGGAAGAGGCGCAGAGAGGGTGAGCAGCAGGAAGAGAGGCAGTGACCAGGCATTAAGCCAACCAGAAGTAAGATGTTGGCGGACGCGAGCGAAAAGAGTGTTACAGCTGTTCATCCTTCTAACAGTACAAACATTAATTACCAGTATGAACTAATATCGGCTTTGAAAGTCATGCTGTGTCAGCATGCAGACTGCACTGATTAAAGGGGGTAATTTGTGGGCATCATGGTGGGCTAGAGCTAAGATGTGTAGCAAGCACATAACCCACCGTCACCGGTTCAAATCCAGCCTAGTACTGTTGTTGCATGTAAGGCCCGTTAACCACCACCCCACCATTCTCTGTTTACCATTCAACTTACACTATTAATTAAAAGCAAAAAAGTTTAACAATTGTTCGAAAATGATCAAAAACAACACTTTTTACCACCCACAGCACAAAAGGAACATCATATACCGTTTAAAAAGAAATGTTTACTTGTAATTCTCCTTGCATGTTGCAACTTTAATGTTGTGAGCACTTCAACCAAGGAGTGAAAATACCCAGTGCTTGAAAAGAAAAGCAAGTATTAGAGAAAAGCATAATAAAATAATCATTATGTGGGGCAGCAGAAGTATTTGATTTGACCAGTACCTATGACCCAAGACTTCTTTGCCAGGCACCGAGACATCGGGCAGATGGTACTGTATTAGTATTATAGTAAAATGCTACTTTATAAGGCAGAGGGGCCTTTTCTAGAGACTTGGAAGCAATAAGTTGCTAAAATACCCACGAGAGGTAATATAACTGCTAACTTCTAGCTTGTTTATTGGAGTCTAGTGCTGCAAGTTACCTGTGTTTAAGCAGGAGGGCCCTCAGGACATTAGCTCGATCGTCAGCTTTGATCTGGTCTGAGATGATCATCTGCTCCACCACCTGGTGGGCAATGCCAGGCAGGGTCTTCTGGTCCAGGTCCAGCAGCACTGCACCTGCAAACCCGAACACACACACACACACACACACACACACACACACCAAGGTTAGCACACTTAACACTGCACTGTTGGCTTTTAGGCTTTAACAACATGCTCAGTCTTTACTCAGTTTCTGTGTCTTACCGTGTGAGATGGTCTTTCGGAGCTCCAGCAAACTGCGGAAAGACAGCGAAGCCACGTGAGGTTTCCCCCAGCGCTCAGTCTCCTCCTCCACATCTTCCTCAAATTTGATCCAACGAGCCGTTTCCTTCCACTGCATCTCCTGATTCTTGTCGATGGTCAGCTCGTTCAGCTCCACAAACACCTAGAAACAATGCATGCGAATGTATGTGAGAACAACAGAGAATATACAAACTACCTACAAAAAAATGATATGCACATTTACTGTGTCCTAAACACCCAGCTTAATAGCAAAAGCACTCTGCATGAAGTCAGTAGACACACACACACACACACACTTAGGTTGGTGGTGAACATCAGAAAACAGACTCCATGCTTAAAGGATTTAAAAAAATTTAATCAATACACAAAATAACCATTCTGTCCATGTTATTACCTTATATGGTCTTCTTTAAAACGTTGCATAAAAACAGTCAAAGATATCTTAAAAACCTGACAGCAAAAAGTCAGAGGAGAGACCATAATATGCTGTGCGACTCTCAGCGTGCTCAACGTCAAGTATCCGTTAACAGCTTATTTATTGAACACCATGCTGGTCAGCCACAATCCTCAAGTCAGCCTGTGAAATCAAGCTCACACGAGTCCAGCCTGACTCTGTTTGGTCACCCAGCCTCACCTTCTGATAACGAGCTATTTGACCAGAGTCCATGTCCAGCAGGACGCCGTTTGGCCGAGAAGCAGAGCGGTACAGAACCACTGGTAATGGCTGGAGGAGCGAGACGGTGCAGGAGAGGACTCACACACTGACACAACCAACAGCAGCACAAAGGACGGAGCATGACTTGTACACACATACCCACAGGTAATTCTTCCTCACCAAGCACACCTGACAGGGACCTGTTGTTTACCAGGGCTGCTGGGGGCTCGGAGCTGAGTATGACATTGTGTGGGTGGGTGTGTTAATAAAACATAGCTGTCCATCTCTGTGAGCTCTGTGTCTGGTTACCTGAGCTCCTCTCTCTCTCCTCTTTTGCCTTTCCATGCATGAAAGGAAAGAACTCATTCATTCATTTTTAATTGGCACTGTCCTTCCCTGTCCCTCCCACAAAAGAGACAGGTCTAGGCTAAACTTGGTAGATGGAAAGAAGGAGAAACATTTCTAGAAAATCCTGCAAATGGCTGCTGCTTGAAAGAAACACCTGTAACCTTATGAATTTGTAAGATATCCAAGGACTGGAAAAATGATCTAAAGCCAGTGTTACTTTTATCACCATGTGATTCATGTGTTATGGATTTTTTTTACTACACTTTATAGTATGTATGTTACATAAATTACTTGCAATTACTAGCTCAGCAACTCATTGAAAAGAGAAAATAGTCAGTCACATTTGTTTTGGATTTTTATGGTGAACATTCTCAGATTGTTCCTTCAATGCTCCCAAAACTTCAAGATACAAACCCTCTCTTCTAATTTATCATGAATCTGCAAAACCAAGTACAAAGTACATTTTTGCAGAAACAAACTTAAGTATTGTTGGGATCAGGTGATGGCTATTCTGCTTTAATCGTAGAGGGAAAGGGTGATAAGCAAGTACTATAATATATCACCTCATGTGGAGTTCGGTCCTGCTTACGACTGCGCGTGGTCAGCTCTTTGTGGTCTTTGCCAATGTGCACCACTTGTTGCCCCTTGGTGCTCTTTCTGACCAGGTGTCTACGCATGCCAGGAACATCTTCGAAACGATGACCTGGTTGAGAAGAAGAAAGATGTCTGGTGAGATGTAGGGAAGACAAAGGAGAAAAGACTTTATAGCCACATCACGAGATTAATTATAAGCACAAGTACCATATAGAGTTCAACATGACCTCCAAGTAATGCAAGTCCAAATACTACAGAAAGCCTGTAGTTTACAGTGTGTCATAGTTTGATTGTGCAGCCCTCGGCCTGCACATGCTGGGCCCTTACCCTGAGGTCAAATCTCATCCCACCAAGTCAGAGAGGACCAGGCCACTGTTTCTGTGCTCCCACAACAGAGAGTCAAGTTACACAAGCTGGCAGCACACGTTAGAAATGATGTGGCGAGAGACACCAGGTGGCACAGATATGACACTGAGCAGAAAATGTCCTAACAAAGTTAAAAGACCAGTGGACCAGCTAGCATGAACTCTGCACTCATTCAACTCAAAACCAGAAGTACAAACTACAATTTCACTCTGATCAGCATGAAACTATTCTTCACACAATGAGCCACACATCAATATGAATCACCATTCTTTAATTCAGAATCATACAAACATCTTAGAACCAAGCAACGGTAAGTTAAATTCCCTGTCTGAATACCATTTGTGTTACCTTTATCAGAGCTGGAAGATGCTATATAACAACCTGTGGAGTTTTTGAGGTTCCTCATCAGTCTTACCTCATCATCTAAAAACCAGGCAGCCCTTGCAAGGACAAAATAAGTGATTTTTCATCCTAAATTTTAATTTGGTAATCAGTAATTCTAGCTTTACTTGTTTTATTGAGAAGGTCCTTTGTTAAGTAGCTCATGTCCACTGCTGCTTAGGTGAGGTTTGGGGCAGAACATGGAGTAAAATGAGGCCTCGCTGGCATGCAGCTCTTGAAGAAAGAGGAGGGTATGTGGCAAAGGGTCAGAGCCGTCACAGCTGACTACATCACCCACTCAACTTGTGCTGAAGTTTTAAAAAAAAAAGTAAAAACTTTCCACCTCTTGACCAGCGCCCGACTGTGTGGAGGCTGAAATAATCAGAATAACATCAGGAGGCAAAAGTGTTAATTTGCTCAGGGTCAACCTAAAGGGGAAGACAGTGATCTAATAATTCCTGTTGTCGAGCAGCAGCCAGAGACAGAGAGAGTTTCACAGGATGATTTATGGTGGCAGGAAGCAGGTAAAAAGACAACAAACTGAACAACCAGGGACAAACCTGTTGGGAGGCATGGCTAAACCTCATAATGGCCAACTATCTGGACAATACTGAGCTGATACCTCTGTCCTCAGCCTCTTTATTTGGCCTTCAAATCTACTTAAATCGTCTCCTTGTTTCAGTCCACTAATGATTAAAAGTTGTGAACTGAGGTCCAGGTTTCACAATTAACCACTACGTTGGCTCAGGCTCAGGGGCTTCAGCTGACAGTGGGAACAGCTAATTTATTAAGACAGGCCTGTCCTCAACACTCTCTTAATAAGGTGCTGCTCTTTGCAGAGGGGTCCGCTCCCTGACGTAAATCCCTCCTTGCCATGAACAAAACTTCACGCTGAGCTAGGGGGAAGGGAACATCACAGGCAGCAGGGCACAGACATCATTGTAAAACGGACACCACCCCTGCCTCACCATTTGTGGAGGAATCTAAGCATCTGCTAAGTCAAGTCTTCATCATTGTTGCCAGCTAATAACACAACAACAATAAAGAGGTGTAGCAAGCTATAAAAACAGACTCTGAAAATGATAAAATACACAAAACATCACGGCTAATCCACATGTGAAAGACAAACTGTGGCGAGGTCAGGCAAACTACTAGACATTTTTGGAATAACAAATGTTAGAGGACGATCCACCTGCAGCAGACGACTAGCCTGAAATCAAAGGAACCCATGAGACAGAAAAAGTGACTTTTCTGTTAAGAGTGAGAAATTATTTACATTACAAGATGGACAAAATGAACATAGTATTTGTTGGAGCAATAAAAAAATGGCAGCTGGTATGTCTCTCTTACCTTTACTACTACTCTGAAATTCTTTACACTCCTTACTTCTGTTGTATATTTTACTATTCAGGAATAATCATACAAAAATTATGTAGTGCTAAATAAAGACTTCAGCATCATTATCATCACCTTTATTTATTCAGGGTAATATTCAATGTTTATTGTATAGGTGTCACAGAGTCTGGCAACAGTGTTGCTCTTCCTTTAGAGGTTAAAGACATAAAATTATCTGATCAAATTTAAACTTGTAATAAATTGTTTTACCACTTGGGGGCAGAAAATGCAAAGCATTTTAAAATTTGATTTGAACTTGTTTGCAAACAGCTGCCTGCTTACACACAGATATAATAAAAGTAAATCAGTGTTTCAAGCTTATTTATTCACAAAATACTCCTTAAAAGCAAAACACACACACTATATGTAGTGCAAATGTTTTGTATGGAGGTTGCCGATTCTATCAAAGCCCCCATGGCTGGTAGAGGCATGTACCTAAGACCCCAGTCTAGTTACTTTAAAAACATTTTAAGGTACAAAACTCAATTAATGGAAATTTGTCGGTAACTTTAAAGGTGTCAAAAATATTTGAGTGTGTAAAATCAGCAAAGTGGCATTTCGTCTATACTCACTCTTGATACCATCCAGGTCAGCAGAGGCCAGCATCTGAGCCTCGCTCTCGTCAGTAGGAATGCGCTGGTACTTGGCCTGCTCAGCACCCGTCATGTTGCCCGTGCGCCGACGCTCATGCAAGTCGTAGCCGCGGCTGGCTGATGACACCCGGGCAAGCGGTGTGTGCTCAGGTGACACCGACTGAGGAGAAGGGCAGGAAGTCTCTGGTGAAGATGGTTTACTAGAAAGAGAAAAAACAAACAAACAAACAAAAAAAAAAAAAAACAGAAAAACAAGATAAAGTTGTAGTGCAAAAATAGTTTTTCTTATGTTATTGTCCCCAAATATGCCTTGTAAAAAAAAAAAAAAAACAGAAAAACAAGATAAAGTTGTAGTGCAAAAATAGTTTTTCTTATGTTATTGTCCCCAAATATGCCTTGTGAAATGTAAGAGAGTACTGACAGAAGATGTCTTTTCACAGACTCACATTCAAACCATAAACAGTTTCATTTATGACTTGCTTTATAGCCATTTCATTCTTCTCCTAACACACAAAGCATTTCCTTGTCACAGGACTACTTTCTCTGAGTGATCCAGGTATTAGACCCTCCTACTGCTGCTGCTATTATAATGCACAAGCACTGCTCAGCTCAAAACACTGAAAATTTAAATGCTCAAAATACTGTAATAAATAAACATAATAGAAATGGGGATAAAGGATGCTCAGCCAATACAAATCCTTGTAATCAAACATAATCAACTCACCACTCTTTCAGTGTCAGTGCTCTTTCAAACTATCAGGATGTTTTCTTGATACAAATCCTCTGTGTTTAGGTTTCTCCACCAGACTGAAAATGAGTAAAGTGCCTAAACGCAGCTTTACCCCAGCTCAGATGAAACCTTCAGGAAGTGAAGTAAATGTCATAGGTGGAGCCTGGAGCTCACTGAGGTGTGTTGTGTTGTCTATAGCGACAGGTGATAAATGGGTCTCTGAGGACAGGATTACTCTGGCCCATCACATCATGCCCAGCAGGGCCACTAGATGCCTAAGACATGGTAACGTACAGTGTGTACCTCCCTGGCCAATCAGACGTGAGCCCAAGCAGTGTCACGCAGCAGGTAAAACCTAGCAGGCTCTCACGCCCCTTTTTAGCTCCTCTTTGTTTTGTCCTGTAAATCGATTTAACTCACTCTGTGGAAGTTGCATCTTCAGTATCTGCTCCCACAGCAGACTGTGGGACGATATTCAGCTCTCTGGGCGAGCGTGGGCTCTCTGTGCCACAATTGGCTGCCTGGTCTTCATCCGAAACAAAGAACTGTGGAAGGAAAACAGAATGTGAGAGCACTGCTTACTGCAACAAAAGAAGGTAACCCAAAAGCTCAAACCAGGAACCTCTGACGTCAGGTTCAAATAGTGGAGGAAACAAAGCCCTGAAACAACCCTTTGTGTGCACGGTAACGCAAAGTAGAGAATTCTGAAGATTAGATGAACTGAAGAAGAAACAAAGATTATGTCAAGGAAAACAACCTGAATGAGGTGATTGACACTGAGGTACTAGTCAGAGCAGACAAAAAGACTAATTCAAGAACAATTTTGAAATTGTATCAGTATTTAAAAACCCGATATAGTTCTCTGAATGTCAAAAATGAGAATCAAAACTAATTGTACGAGGACATACACAACACATCTACAACTTACAGAATATGGCAACAAGAAGTAACATACCTTTGTAAAAAGTAAAAAAAATTATAAATAAAAAAATCAAATTTTCTATAAAATAGCATTATCAGATACAAATATTAAACTGAACTCGCCAAACTAGGTGCACATAGTAAGGAAAGGTATACAAATGTTTTTCCTTGAGGAACAAGGTAAAGATCTTTCCTAGCAAATGGGTGAAACAGGTCACCTTCATGAGGGTGCAATCGTATTTAGATGGGGAAAAAGTCCAAGGACAATATTGACCAAGAGATGTAGAGTATACCCACTAAGTTCCAGTGCTTTGATGATGTTTGTTTTCTTTTTTCTTTTGTTAAATATATTTAAATTCCTAGAAGTGCCCCAAATGTAAGACAGTGAAACAAAAGCCAGATAATACTTAAAAAAAAATGTTTTCAATATTTTCGGATGTTTTATAGGCCAAACAATTAATCAAATAATTGAGATAATACTCAGCAGAATCACAGTTTTTGTATTAAAAATAATCAATAAGATTAGCTGGAAAATACTACTATCCAATACATTAGAATGTTTTACTCAGAAATAGCGTCTAAAGCCCAGTCATTGGAAATCAATACAGTTTCAGTGAAAGACGAATATGAAGTTGAATGATTACCTCCACATCTCTGACTCTCTCTGACTCAGGTGACGGAGACGTTGCCTTTGTCTCCTCCTCCTCTTCCTCCTCCTCCTCCACTTCATTTAAAGAGCCACTGCTAAGAACATGGCAGGTTTTCTGTTCTTTGTCCTTCTTCTTTTTCTTGCTGCTCCTCTTCCTGCGTCCCTCGGAGGACAGTTTGGACAGAGGTCGGTGGATGTGGTGAGAGGAGTGACGGTGGTCTGCGGAGAAGATACCCCCACATTCATTTTTAAACATTTGACCCTTGTTCTTGTGGCTGGATGTAGAAAATGAATACAACAATGATGAAGCTCCTGTGTGCTTACATTCGATGTCCTCCTCATGGTAGATGTGGTGCTGCTCATCAGGTACAACAGCTGTGGGACTGAGGATCTGCTGGAAGCGCTGGACGCCCAAAGATTTGTTCAGGTCCCCATCGTCTTCCTCTTCAGGGTGCGGAGACCCGTGTGGTGACGAGGCAGCAGGAGCCTCTGGCTGTAAATAAACAACAAGCAAATTTAAAACAAAAATTAAATGAACCAAGTGATAAAAAAATAGACATCCACTGTATTAAGTATAAAACTAATTAATAAGTAAAATATTAAGAAATAAATATTGATATGAATAACTTCACAATAAGTAAGAATAATCTTCAACAACACACTCAAAAATGAGGGATTAGCATGTAGCATGAATTCAGGACACATCGTCTTTCATTTAAACCAGCACTAGAGGGAGTTCTGCTCCTCTGAATACAAAAGAGTGAAAGCATTATCCAAGTTCTGTCATTCTTGAAAATAAGCTTTTAATTGGAAACACTGACCACATGATTTGACCACTTAGTCCTTTTCCATGCCGAGGTGTTACAAGGATCATGTGGGTGATAAGAGATCTGTTTTCTTGCAGCATGCTGTGGAGTCTTGCTGCGTCCTGCTCTGCCATGAGATGTTGTGATAAGGATGGACCACAGCGTTACAGCAAGTGGATCTACTCTGGCTAACAGGGCTTCACTGCAGCCACCTCACACTAGAGTCAATGTTGCTATGACCACTGCACAAGTGCCTCCGATCCTGCAGTGAACCCTTCCTGTAGCAAGATCCCGGGGGCTGCAAGTCAACTGATGCTTACTCAACTGGTTCTCAGGACACCCAACATATAAGTCATAAGTTTTCCTCAGTGCTGCAGGGAGTAAAGAGTAAGCAGGTGGTGAAATACAACTACACTTCTCCCACCTGCAGCTCTTAGTTTTGTGTCAGACACATATCAGTGTAGGCACATCAGCCAAGACACAATTAAATAATGTATTCAAAATTACATTGAAAGTAATTAAGTACTCTTACTAAAAAATTAAAACTAGCTCCACCTTGGCTAATCTAACTAAATCAAATCACATCCACTTCACTACCTCAGTGATTCCATATTATATCTAACCAATCCAACAGTCTACACTACATGCATCCTCTCCAGATGTCTGAAACCCTCCGAGTGCTGCTGCTACACAATCTGTCAGTTTATTTTTACAGAGCTCTCATTCATATCATGGTTTCGCAGTGAATCCCTAGATGTGGGTGAGACGTGTGAGGGATTCTCAAGGAGGTGAAAGAATTTTCCACAACTGAAACCATGTGCAAAAATAAGCGGAGGAGAGCTGAGTAAAAACAAGACTGAAAAGACAAAGAGAAACCTTGACTAATATCTTCCGACTTACCTCACTCATGGTAATGTGAGCTTGATCACAGTCAGCGTTTTTTGGTGGCAACGAACATCAGTGTTCATGACAATACTGGAGTTCTGACCCTCAACACCTCTATTAAGAATCACAGGCACAGGCTCCCTGCTTATCAAAACTTCCTGTTACCCTAATCAGAGCCCTATCACCAAACCTGCCACCTTCAGTAACCTGAACATTGTGTCAGGGCAAAATAAACAACACTGGCATTGTCGCTTTGAGGGCAAATCAGGCTGAAAGGACAAGCTGTGTTTAAACAGCCAGGAACAAGCCCTCATATTGACATTCATCTCCACATTTTAACTTTGCCACATGAAGCCTTGAAGGGCAATGTAAATGCACAGGAGCTAAACAGCTTACATTTTTCAAAGGCTAAGAGTAACATGCAGGACCAGTGTCATCATTTGTGATAATGATAATCAATACAATCCCAGTAATAAATCATATGTTAAATTTATGTTCATTTATGGGAATTAGTGGTAGAAACCCTAGACCTGTGCTAGGCAGAAGAAATATTACAGGAAATAAGACATTGTGCTGCAAATTTGAAACAAAGAAGCAAATAAATAAGCAATAAACCAGAGCATGATGCAAACGCTGGGAGAGCTAGGCTCCCCTTAATGAGACCTGAGCTCCACTGAAAACATGACTTGCACAATTTTGGGAGGCCTCAGTCTAAAATATTGACAATATGTTATTTTGCCATATAGGCTATTTCTGTTTTTCTGTATTTTTATCCTCATGGATCATGATTATTACTGATGTATGATTCACACATAAGGGTGATTTGGCACCAATTCATTTTAATAAATGCATCAGCATACATGCAATTCTTGCCATCACCATCAAAATGTGGCGCTGAAGTAAACTTCACTTTAACGCAAAGATCAATAAAACAGTCTCTCTTGATCATAAAACAATGTGTGCTGAAATATGCACACCACCGGGCACTTTACATCTGTTTTTCTATTCTTATTAGGGCTGGGCGATATGGCAAAAAATAAAAATCTAGGGTTTTTCATAAAATGTGACCGATTCACGATTTCGATTTTTTTTTTAATGTGTAACTAGCCAACTTAAACACAAGTACAACAACATGACTGAAGTAACATTCTCTTCTTAAGTAACTTGAAAAACCATCAGTTTAAGAAACATTGTATTTTAGTGTGCATGCCATACATAAATTGGTCAACAAGGTGTAAATAAATGTAAAACAAATTCTCTAATGAAATGTCTTTGCAGCTGAATTAAATATGAAAGTAAATATTGAATTCTTCTTAATACAATACAATAATTTTAACCAATTAGTCAACTCAAAAATTAAGCACATTTACACCAGAAGCATTATTAACAGTAAATGTTTGATAAGAAGCCAGCACATCTTTAAGCCCTTGACCAATTACTTCCCCAGTATGATCGTCAGGAAAATAACATGTCTGAAGACAAACACGTCACAGTTTCCATTCTGCATCAACATAATGGGCTGTGAAGCTCATGTAAGGCTGAAGAGTACGACTACTCCACAGGTCAGTCGTCGTAGAAAAAAAAGATGCCTTATCAAGCTGTTCCGCTACTTTTTCACGTGTTTCAGTGTACATTCGGGGAATAGCTACGTCTTTGAAATATTTGCGGCTTGGCAACGTGTATCTTGGATCAACAGTGCGTAGCATTTTTAGGAACCCTGGCTTTTCGATGGTGTATATGGGAACCATGTCCTTAGGTGCAATGACAATGTATCTATTTTTTATTATAATTAAAAATCGCGATACCTCGATTTAAGAAAAAAAAAATTGCCTTAAAACGTAAATTCAAATTAATCGAAAGAATCGCCCAGCCCTAATTCTTATCAATAAAAATAATGATATATATAAAAAAAAGCTAAATCTTAGCGGCGCACGAAGGGGCCATGGACCACTGGTTGAAAACTCCTGGTTTAGAGTGTTAACATGCTAACATGTTAACAAGTTTTGCTTAGTAGCATGAAACATGGTGCAACTGAAGCTGATGAGAATGTCAGTAGTTTTACAGCTACTTTGCCATAAACCAAAGAATGAGACAAATAAAAACTCTGACCTGATGAAGGTGCTAGATGAAAAGTTAAGGGATCAGTAAAGTTAAAACAATTCACCGTCAGCCTGACAAGAACATCTTCCAAATATCATAGCAATGCATCATACAGTCTTTCAAATATTTTACTCAAAACCATAGTTGTCAAAGTCATGGCGGCACTACAAAGTCAGGGCGTTATCCTCTGATCACCACAAGTGTTTGTACAAATTGTCATGGCAATCCATCCCATCGTTGTTGAGACATTTCAGCCTGGAGCAAAATGGTGGAGCAACCAACCAACCAGTATTGCAACCCACAGCGACATCAAAGCATGGCTAAACACATAACATTCTTGCTTTTTAGCTCATTTAAATAACTGATAAATGAGAGTATAATAATATCAGTAAGAGAGTTATTTTTTCCAGGCAACATGCTGCCTAAAGTTAAAAAAAAAATAGTGTGCATCTGCAGTTACTGTGTCATGTAATGTGGTGGACGCTGTACAGTATGTGGAGGCTGCAGAGGAGATTATCTGTGTTAGGTAGGCTCAAATCCCTCAGCGGTCAGCATGTGAAGGGAAAAGGGGAGAGAGACAGGCTGGGGATGCTGTAGTGATCATGTCGTACTGCGTGGCTGATGAGCCACTGCTTTCCTGCACAATCCCGCAGATCAGTCTGCAAGAAGATGTGAGTGCACAACATGCTTGGGGTTTCTGTGATTATAACCATAGAAATGGTAAACCAGTTGTCCTCAGTGCTGTACATTTTGCATTATGCAAGCATCGATTTTCACAACCTTCCTATTACATCATAAATTAAGAGGCACGTTTTCCACTGTTTGCTCTGCTAAAATAAGATTGAATATAAATGTACACATTATATAATGTCAATTTAAACATGGGACCACCATTCAATCCGAGACTGGAAAAATACATTTGAAAAGAATTTTTTTGAGATACCCACTGATTATATTTATACAGGGAATTGAGCTTTCAGCTTTATCACTTCACATTATGCAAACAAGGTTTTCCATAGCCAAACACAGACGGATCATTTACCTGACAGTGTTTTCACTCCTTAATTTTATCTATGTTGATGCAATCGTCTGATAAACTTTGCTGAGGGATTCTGCAGATGCCGCCAGGTGCACATCACACAAAGCATATGAGGTTATAAAAGTAATAAATCAACAGGGAGGAGATGCTGTAAACCGTGCTCTGCTAATCCACCCATCCGACAGCTCACCTCCAGACAGTGACTGTCTCCCTGCACATATACAATTTTGTTTGAGTTACTTCTATTTGTATATAGTTTTCTGAATAAGGTTTGGCGTCTCTGTAGGTTGCGGGATTATACAGTAGTTTGTGTGGAGCCTTGAGAAGTTTCTAATTAGGCAGATCTGAGGATACCTCTGTGTGCCACACCTGTCACACTAAGTGAGATGAATTCAACTATAAAGCTGAAAGACTGCTGCACACTACCTGAAACACCTGTGTTTTGGAGTGCGACTTTTTTTTTTACCTTTAACATATTTTGCGTACCCTACATGATCAGGATCAGTAGTTCCCAGCCTGGGGACGGAGACGCCCCAAAGGGAACACAAGAAGAATATGGGGGTCACAAGATGATTAAGAGGATAATGCAGAAACAAAAACACTGAAACATGGAAACATGAAAAATTTGACACCGCATCTTAATCAGTGAGATTTAGAGGTGCTGTTAGGGGGATTTTGTTACCTCTGAACTGAGGCAGGCTAGCTGTCCCCCCCACCACCGCCCGCCCATTTCCAGTCTTTATGCTAAGCTAACAATCTTGGCTTCAGCATCATAGTTACCAAACAGAAATCTGACAGTGGTCAGTCTTCACACTATATGTGGGGAGAGAAGTTGTGTAACAATCAGTTTGAACACAAAGGAAAGAACATGAACAGTCACGTTTGTCAAAATGTCAACCATTCCTTAAGCCAAAAATCCTGGGAGCCATTGGCCTAGACATGTTTGACATGTTTTACAGTTTCTGCCACATGTTACAAGCACTACTGAAATGCCCTGGAGCAAGACACACTGCCTAAAAACACAGACTCTGGGGCTGATCCTGATCTCTGATATGGAAGAAGTGAAATAAAGAATCATCACATGTAAACTTTAACACTATTACTGAGAGCTTGATCTCTTCATATAAAAAAGGAAAACAATATTTATCCATAATGTTTTTTTAGAAGTATTTCAATATATTATCCTGTTAATTAAAGGAAAAAATGGCTATTACAAGTTGAAATGCTCCCGTCAGGAACTCTTGCATAATGACAGAGGGGTGGATGTATGTAATTAGTGATGCATTAAAAATAACAGGTGGTAATTATTACCTTGGATTTGTAATGCCTAGGAAAAGTAACTGAGCTGTTGACAAAATATCTCAAAAGTTTAAAACCTAAACTGAACTTTAACAGCTGTGTTATGGCTTAAAATCCTACTGAGAGAGGGTGGACTAGAATATGACTTTGGTATGATAAGTTAGCAGATAACCTGGTGATCAAGATGCTCAGTAAAGATAAAACTGTTTGTTGTATGACAGTGCCTTAGTAGTTATTGGCTGTTCTCTTACAGCTTCAGTTTGACCAAGTTAATTATTATCTCCTTAACAATGCACGCCTGTGTGCACATGTTCTGGGATGGTTCAGATAATCCTGTTTTTAAGAACCAACAGTACTTAATAATGTCTTCTTCCTACCTTGAAGATCTGCCCTTATCATGTGGCAAGGGCTAAATGAAATGGGAAATAGGCTGCCTTCCCTAAAAGTGGCTGGCTCTTCTGGAGCTATCTTGCTGTATTTTAGATTTGCAGCAACACATTTGTGTGTAACTTGATATCCTATGTTTATGCGTTTAAGGTGAACCTGTTCATTATGAGCATAGTAGACTCAACTTAACATAAGAGCATGGTTAGCTCTTTGAGCTCTTTTAGCTATCAGGGTTATGGTTTCTTATTCCCAGTCAGTCGTTACACATAATCCTAAAGAGTACAAAGAGTTGTATGGCAGTAAACTGTCCTGTTGGCTAGTAGAATCAATAAGGATGAGTCATTCTGAACAGGAAAAATCTCTTACAGGCTGTCAATTAACACTTTTATCAAGAAAACATTTAAAGACATTTTTTGCCATAGATAAGAGGGTGAAAGGTCATGGGTTTTTGTTGTTATAGGTTTGAATTTGTTAGACTGCTAAATGACTGTGTGAAAATGAAAGTCTAAAAAAAAAAAAAAACAGTAAATTAAAATACCAAAATTAACAATTTTGAGAAATGTAGTTAAGCGGTAGTGTGTGATATGATGAAATAGTTATTTTGTATTATAAAAAAAGGTCAAATAAAACATTAAAAATTGTTATGTCTATCATTCCACCTGCTAAATACTGCAGGTACAGTATACTATATGCAGCTGTTGTCTGTGTGCGCTCACACAATTGTACAACATTCGAAAGGAAGCAGGTGACAGAATGCAGACAAAAATGCTAAGCTAGGGGAAAGCAAGCATTTCCTAGCTTGGTGTTACAGTGAAAAACAACCCTGGTGCTGACAAGAGAGCTCTGTGAGCATGTCTAAAGTACATATTCACTACTCTTCCACGTGAACCTCTTCTTCCTCCTGCTGTAGTCTAAACATCACTACTTCCACTCACCTACTCATTCAATCCACAGCACACTGAAATATACGGGTTGTGGAAAGTTATTCTGGGAAATGTGTAAAATCCTTAACTAACACAAAAGAACAGGAGAAATGCTGAGGCAGGTGGGTAAATCAGTAGAAACAAAAAGATCTGTACAGTTCCTGGAATGCTATTGAACACAGTAACTCACTAACCAAACTGATGATTATTAGCAACCTTAAACTGTTGATGTGTGGATTTTAACTTTAAGCTTGTGATATTTTCTGCCTTAGCACATTAATCATTCTGAGATCACTCACTGAGAATCCCTTATGTTAAGGAATTCTTTCTTTTGCTGCAGGCTAGCTGCGCCTCCAGCTCCCGGGTTTGCCTGGTATGTTTATCACATCAGTCCTTCCTGCAGCCATGCAATTACATGTTTGTATTATAATGTGCCCATGTTAATTTACTGTTTCCAACACTGGCAACTCATCGACTTAAAGAAAAGAGGAAGGAAACTGTTTCAGCAGTGGAACTGTTGACATTCTCCAGTGGGTTAATGAAAAGGGGATTTCAACAGGAGCAGCTCTCCGTGAAAATCTGAAATGTTTCTGAACATTTTATTTTTGCAGTCAGAAGCACGCATAGGTAGGGAACTGGCTCTGGGATGTGATTGGTTTGTACACTCATAGCTCTGGTAGGAAGAGCGCTGTCCAAAATACACAGAGGCGACAGAGAGAGCTGATGCAGCATAATTTTGCGAGAATGTGAATTCAGTAATGGCAGTTTGGAGCTGAACAGTCTCGTGCATGAAAAACAAATGTTAACTGTGAGGGTTGTCTCCTTGTGAACAATATTTAACCTGGTTTGTCACCAACTGTGCCTCATGTGTTTCACTGTGTTTTATCATGGTTTAGGGACAATGACAGGACAGACTGAGGCCTTTCTGTGTGCAGCCGTGTGGACTTACACTGTGAACAACCGATGCCACGACATCTGTAATCTGGTCAGGAGCACTGGGGTCACTCATAGCTCCACAGTGGAGTCGATGTTGGAGAGGCACTGGAAAGCTGGCTGGGACTCTCGTGGCTTTAGCCCTTTTCTTTCTCACTGGGACTCAGGCAGCTTTTGGGCAGCATAACCTGGAGGCAGACACAGATCCAGGAGATAGTTCACATGATTTCTAAATTCAAAGAAAACAAGAATGAAATATCTGTGGGCAAGTACTCTCTGAATATGAAGTGCAGCCAGAGTAAGAAAATAAAAATAGTGACATGTTCCAGCACATTGGCTCTGAACTGAAACATGAAGTACTGATTTCTGCTTAAGGGATGTTCACATCCATGTTGGGTGAACAGAGACTTTTACATTATCCTAAACACACAGTCAGAGCAGTGAATGTGTTTTTAAGGCCAGAGAGTGGGCTATCCTTCCTCCCAAAGATGAGTCCAATGGAAAAAGGTTCCTTATGATTCCAGCACAGGCATGGAAGAGCATTACTAAGTGTCTGCTGATGTCTATGGGTCACAGACTTCAGACATGAAATGTCTATACAAAGTTTAATAGAAATCTATCTTATTGTTATTCAGATATGTCAGTCTGGATCAATGTGGTGGATTAACATTCCTAGAGCCACACTGCTAGCATGGCTTAAAAAGGCAGTTAATTTGGTGTGGACCTAGATACCTTTCAATTAAAGTTCAGTCAACACTTCAACCTCACTAATGACCTAAACTGAATGTCATGTTTATGATATAGTTATAGGATAGCAACAATGGCAGCAGTACATAAATAAATTTTAATAAATAATGATATGCAGTCTTTTTTAATTCTGTGATTCTTCATTCCAAGGTCTGCAGCACTTTCTCACCACCTTTCAAAGTCATTAACTACTGGAATGAGATAAGAGCCAGATAGCACAGTGCTACTGAGCAGAGGCCCATCGATAAGCAGCGGCACGTGCCTCCGTTTATCTCTGTCACTGCAGAGACAGTAGCTATAAAACATTATTGTTCTCTACTACAGAATGACAGTAAAGTACAGAAGCAATATGCTGTCTATTTTAGTCAGTGTAGTGGTTCCGATTTACCGATGTGAAAATAGGCTGTTCTGCTTACTCCGACTGAAACTGAAAACCTGGGGTTCTGGTCTGGTCTTGTAAGACTGCAAAGATCAACTAATATGGTCAGAAATTTGTGAAAGCTTATATGTAAACTGGTATAATCAAAATGACAGAGGATGCATTACCAAACCTGATATATTTAAACTCAAGCAAACAACAAAACCCATTGTCTTACAGTTGTTCTGTCTGAAAACCTGTCCTAAAATCTTACTCAAAGTATCTCACATGCAAGATTCTTAATAGAACAATGGTGAGTCTTTAAGCAGAGGAGGAAGTCTTCTGGTCACTTTTCACAGTCATGGTTAGAAATCTTGCCCAAGCAAGCCTGGCTCTCTCACAGCGGCTATCAGACACACGATAAGCCTCCCTGATACCTGAGCACAATCATATCAACGACCTTGTTGACAGCGAGGGATTTCTAAGGGGTACGTTTCATTAAAGTACAAACGACGACTAATTGATTAAATCCAATGCAGACAGAGGACGATCTTGTATTCAGCCCTGGACAAAACAGAGACATTGTGCACCAAAGAGATATAAAACTGACACTGCTTGCTCTTTCAAACTGCTGTTTATTCAAAATAAGTACTTTAACTAGTCTGAGACATTACAATCTGTGCAGTAATGGCAATAAAGAGTCTACGGAGTTAGCTTCGGTGTGCTGGAAGATTACTTTCTCAGTAAATCTAGACCCCGTCACTGTGAAAGAGAAAAGGCTGGCCACACAGGGATAAAGTTACAGAACCCTGGGATCCTGGCTGAAAACCATGGGAACTGGCTTATCTACCTCAGGGTCTGTCAGCAATAATACCATTAGGATAACAATAATGATCAGAAGAAAACAATACCAACTGCAACTGTTTTAGCAAGCAAGTAGATTTCAAAAAACACGGTCATTAACGATCTAAATGTTTCTTGCCATCTGCAATCAGGTAAAATTATTCTGTCGGAGGACAAAGCAAAAAGGAACTGATTGTTCCTTGTGTAATAATAGAAATGGACATGTGCTGACAGTGCAAGAGGAAGTGAGGACATGAAGCTCTGTAGTTCTCCTGGAAGAAGTTCATCAGTACTATAAAAACTGCTGTGGATAAAGATGATTTGCTTAGTCTGCTGAGGGCATCCTCCCTCCCCCCTCCCCCCCCAAGACTTCAAAACATTTCCACACTAGATTTAGTCACAGCATCAAATGTGAGCACACAAGGCTTCGGGAAAACTGTCTTTCTGAGAGGAAGTATGTATGAAAACAGGAAGAAGGTAACTGCTACAGACTGATGCCCATCAGGAGCAGCTATGAAAATGTGAAAAATAGAAACAGGGCACTTGGAGAATCTTTTAAGAGTTAACTGAAAAACCATGTCTATGCATGGACCTGGCCCAATAGCATATTCTGCAGATAATCCAGATTGATACAAAACATTTAAATGTCTACCTTGTGGCATTATAGTTTAACTCGCTTGCCACAGTATAACAAGCTGTCACTGTCCGTCATCCTCATCTGCCTCTCCTGCACACAGAGTAAACACTTTAAACAACCAGCTGTCGTGTGATATGCTACTTTGTGCCAAGTTACTCAACATTTAAAAACAAACTATTATGCCATTTCTGTTTGAATTACAAATGCTTATTAAAAGTGCACATCAAGCATCAATCAATAATATTACACAGAAAGAAGGAACATATAACCAACACTCTTAAAGGATGCCCTCAGGAGACTAAGCAAATCACCTCCATTTATAGGCCAAAACTCATCACATTTCCTATTTGACTGACTTGACAGCTGACAGTGTGTAATCAAGTATTTACAGCCTCCTGAAGTAACACTGCAATGATTCTGAGGAAATACCATTTCCTTTGCTGGTATCAGCAGGCTGATCATATTTAGTCTATCTAGATTGAAATTGATCTGAATGTGACTAAAATGTCGACATTGACGTCATAACTTTGGAGGTAGATGAACGCTCAGAGCATGACTTTAGCATTTTTGTCATTATTGAGATCTATTATATGAACCTGGTGGTGACTCATCTTTCCCACGGAGAACAAACATACCTGACAAAGTCTCTTTGTTGTGCTGTAAATTTCCAGTGCTGATAAAAATACCCAGGCCAATTTCTGACAAGATCACTTTGCACCTTTTATTAAGAATGTAAGGAACATTACAAGCATTTAAGGTTGAGGAGAGCTCTGCTCTGCTACGAGCTTAGAGAAGTGATTAGTCAGCACAAAATGTCTAAAACTGGTTATTCCATTCTTTTTTTCCTCCATCCTTCTGGATGCATTAGCATCTAAAGCTAATCTGTTTGTTTTGGTAACATTAGCGACCTAGCATGGTCATGGTTTCACCTTTGTATTGAATTAATATGATTTGAATTTGGGAGTAATTTGAGCTTTGTGTAACGTTAGTGCTTTGTATCACATTTAGCAGGAACCAGAGTGTTCCGCTGAACTGACTAATTCACTTGTTAGTCAGCTAACATTAACTTCGAACTGGAGGATGCACTTTGCAGGTTGTCGCATCCAGACATCTGTAGTTTACATTGTTGCTAGGAAACAGGACCTGATGGGAGCAAAGAGCAATTAAGAGTGGATGATCGTGCCAGTTCGTTCTGAGTCTCAGCAGACCCTCTTAGAGCATGGATGAGGATGTATTGTTCCTTCCAAATCCAACCTGTGCCCGAGGATGTGGCGTGCGAACCCGACAAGTTATATAATGTCTGAACCCGACCGGAGCCTGACGCAGTTGGGTTTGTACAGTGTTTTTCCCCTTATCATTAGATGGAAGCAGACATTTGAGTGCCCCAGCTGTCTAGCCTAAAGTTTGATGTATGTGTCTGAACCTGACCCAGACCTGAACATAATTTCTAAATTTCTGTCCAAACCCAGCCCGAACCCTCAGCAACTGACAGTCCCCATCGGGCTTGGTTCGGGTATCCACAATCTAGACCCTCTAGTCTGAAAAGAAATGAGGTAGCTTTAACGCCAATTTAATGTCTGTAATTGAAAAAGGCTAATTTTGTTCTTAATTCTTTTAATGTCGTATGACCTTTTTGGTTAAAGATACTATAAGTGAAGGTTACAATTGACCGGACGGAGGTTACAAGCCAGACTCAAACTCACAACACAAGCCTACATGTTTCTTTAACCACTGACAGGATGGCTGAGCCGGGCCTGACATCGGTCAGCAGCTTGGCACATGTGTCAGCCACAGACTGCACAAACACAAATTCTATCAAAAAAGGCATAATTAAGGAACATGTCAATAAAGTATGCAAACTGCCAAAAAAAAAGTGCCCATTCAGAAATAGAAGCTCGATCATAATGTCCGAACCTCAACCAACACACAGGCCTGTAGTTACAAAAGCAAGACAATGAAAGGGGGGAAGATTTCATTGGGTTTACAAAAAACAAGAAAGTCAGTGATTCATTTGTTTCCGTTTGGCAGACAGACAGCACTGTTGGATACTTTATGGTCATAATATTTAATCTAGCTCAGTAACATGCTGTAATAACATTCACAGAATCAGCACCATTATCATCTGAAGACGCATGCAAGAGCCGATAAACAGAAGAGAGCAGTTTAATGTGGTTTGATACAAATATAAATGATCAAACTTGAATTTACTGAAGCAGTTAGCAAGTCAATAAAAAAAAAGATACATTCAGGATTTATAACAGCAGTAAGGCATGCTTGTACTACTAAAATTAGAACCGGGCAGAATTTGTTTACACTTGTCCATATTATGGCTAGTAGCCCAAGTGTGACTCAGCTCTGCTGCTTCAAGTCACATATGTTCCAGTCTGTTCAGTTTTTGGTAAAGCTGTTGTAAATATACAAATTCAATTTAATGTTTATTACTGAGGTCTGTTGCAATAGATTCAAAGCTGTAAGTGGGGAGGACAAAAATATATGGAAGTCCAGTGCAACATCAGCTAAAATATTATGAATGTCAAAGGTGTTAAAACAGGGCTGATGTATTGGGTTTATTCAAACAGGTGTACCTAATAAAGTGCTTGGTGAGTGTATATTAAAACACTAACAGGGAGAATACAGTTAAGTTGGATTAGACTTGACCTAACAAACAGCAGCTCTGGTCACCTTATTAAGGATTCATCCACATAAACAATAAATTAAACAGATAAACAACAAGCAGACAGATAAGTCAACCTGAAAGCATGACAACTGGTTAAGAAATACAGAAAAAGATCCATGCCATACCTTTGTGTGCTTACTGCAGAGAAGCCACCGCAGACATTGTAGTGCAATTCTGAACTCGGCCGTGAAGAGACTCGGGGAAGATCAGACTACAGGACAAAAACAAATAGAGAGGGACAAAAGAAAAGAAAGTTAGAGATGTGGAGTGTGCATTCATTCTAGTCAAGTATCTTGCCACCTGATTGCTCTGTCAGAACACACGCCGACTGATAACAGCAGCCTTCCTCCACAGAATTATGTTTCCGCCTCCAGCCTGCTGACAAGTAGCCATGTGACTCCAGGACCCATTCAACACTGAGTCAGAGTCACTGCTCTGACACACACACACCTCTGTCTGTCACACACACACACACACACACTCACAAATGACCCCAAGTTAAAGGCGGAAATTTCCCACTGATCAGTATTTGTCCCAAAACAAACACAAACAGTATTTTTGCATGTTGTAGCCCTCAGACCTTTTGGCTTGTGACTATTAAAAGAAAGCCATGTTTATTTGCAACTCTTTGCCTGCAAATGTTTAAAAGTGGCAAACACTTTAACAAATGAGTAAGGATGGGACAATCTATCAAAATTCAATATATAGCCATACAAAACACCAGTGACCTCATACAGAATGTATGTCAATAAATCTGGTTGCTCTTTACATAATCAAACCAGTGCTAGAAAAGGAAAAGAGGAATAAAGTACAAGTATTTCACAGCTAGCCATACACTATCATTGAATTTTTAACTGTATTGTGACTGAATCAAATCATACACAACATATCGTGCATCGAATCGTATCGAGAAAGACATATCGTCCTATCCCTATTAACGAGTTATTTTCCTGACTTTAATCAAATGACTTGTAGATAGATTCCTGAAGAAGTACAGTTACCCAGTAATTCACAAAAAGCAGGGATTAGAGGCAACATAGAAAAAAATTATCATTTAGTATCACAATATGTTATTTTTGTTTATTTTGCTTTCCTTCTCTGGGAATCATCTTGTGACTGTAACATTTAGATTTATCACACGACCTTGTGTGGGACTCCCAATGATTTATCCCATTTACTACAACAAGACCAGCAGTTGTGTGACATGTTGATGTAAATGTTAGTGTCTGCATATGCTAACATGGTCTCCATGAAAAGGCTTGCATGCTGGTGTTTGTTTGCTTTAGTGTGACCCAAATTTCATGGCCATCAAATAGTTGTTGATCATGAGCTCCATGTCTGTGCAAGAGGAAAAGCCAGAGTATAACCAAAGTCATGAGAATTCATTCTTTGGGGATCGTGAGTATCTGCACGTTTATTCCAATCAGTCTCAAAGATGTTGATATTTCAGTCTTGAACACAGTGGTGGACAGAAGACACTGACATTGCTATACAGCCATGCTGTAAGCATGCAAATATTTTTTAAGTAACAAAAATAACATGGAATTTAAATGCCTATAACAATGTCTTTCTTAATCTACGGCTGTGACACAAATTCATGTTGAAACACACAGACAATTGGCGGCTACCTGGTAAGAAGAGAATTTCGACATCAATAAGTCAAGGGCAACATGAAAGGGCGTGCCACAGATGAAGACAAAGGAATATTGTCTTATGTAAAATAATCCTGTCTGGAGGACAAGGAGTTAGTCAATATCTATCAGCTTTCTTTAGAACATTGAGCAACTTTACATCCCATGAAGGGCACTGCAACTTTGTCAGGAAGCTTCAGAACATCTTTAATATGGTAAATAATTAATTGATATTCTAAAATAACCAGACATAAGCTATGTAACTCTAAACTTTTTCTGGTTCAAAATAAATCCTATTCACATAAACTTCAGCTCTGAAGCTATGTTTATAAATCTGCACAGAATGTTTATTCATTTGTGAATATGTTTGCACTGTGAAATTAATGAGAAAGCAAAAACACGTTGCCTAAAAAGTCTTCAATTATTAACTAGCAGTCATTTTTAATATAACTGTGGTTCCTGGCATGTTCATACTTTATCCCTTGAGTTTTACAAAGGCGTTCATCTAGTTTAATCATTATTTTACAGTTCACCTGGATTTTCATCACATACTGGAAAAATGTATCAGTTATAGGGTCAGTTTTTCCCACAAGGTCTTAAAGTATTTGCCAGTGGGAAAAAAACTTAACATGTCATGGAGGAATCAACACTATTACACATTTAATCCTGCTTAAAGTCATAAAAGCTGCTAGATTGTGTTTTGCAGCGAACAAAGAATGGTTCTGTGATCTAAACTGGTTACTTACACGTCCACCAAATAATCAAGTGCTGCATTCCACATCAGCTTACATAAGCCTTAGAGCTCAAAGAAATATCCAACCTCAGGAGGAGCGTGAGTCTGCATGTGTGCAAGTATAATTGTTTGTCCCCAGGGATGTGGGCTCACGGTGGAGTCACATGCACGTCTGCGGGTAGAAGAAACACAGTCAAAGCCACAAGCTGCTAAAATTGAAGTACAGTTCAAAGTCTGGGGCTTTCCTCAATACCAACAGTGCCTGATAATAGCATTATCCACTGTGGTCAACTATTTAAAAAAAAAAAAAAAAAAAAAGGGTGTGACTTCATGTGTGCAAGAGCGAATGACAACTTATTTTTGATCACGACCAACAGACAAATGCACTTAACCTACACAGACAGTTCTCATTCTTGATGTTTTGTGATATTTTAATTTTGAAGCGTGAACGAGTTTGACATTTTTAGACAATAACACCCTGCATTAAGTTTTTCTAGCTTTTATCTAAAATCTTAACAGCTTGGAAACTCTCCCTGCAGCTTCCTGTTATTTTTCTCCCCCTTCAAGTCTAAAACAAATCTCCTAGGCCGTAGTCCTAGACACAAAGAAAAACACAATCAAGTAGTGCAACCCAGGACAAACGTCAAGGAGAACAGCAGGGCACGTCAACGGGTGACTGTAAGGAGTAACAACTGTGCAGCCTCATTTCAATCCTTCAAAACTTGAAAGGACAGAAATTCACCAGAACCCTGTTCAGCACCCCAGTGCAACCTGCTGATGCAAAGGATGGCCTCGATGGAGCTGTATACCTCTCACAGCTGCCCCTGTTTATGGATCTCTCTGGGATTTTGTCCCTGGTGTACAATATGTTGAGAGCTGTGCCTGAGTGCTTTAGCCTGAAATAGCTAAGCAGTTTTAAAGTCACCCAGCCACGTCCTGAGCCTTTCAACATGCAGACGTCTCTCTTCACAGCCCAGTGGCCATTAACTTCACTTAGGGATTGGCAGGATTTTAACTTCAGCATGACTGTGCTCAGTTATGTGCATGCAGCACTGGAACAGGTCCAGTCTCACACAGCTAACAGCTGCACTTGGTCAATCTATACCATCTTTATCTCATTCTTTGTGCCAGGCTTTAGGATTCAGAGTGTGCTGACTGCTAAGGCGGCACCTGTCTTTGCGGTGAAGGGGGATTAAAGGGGGCAAAAAAACAGTTTACATAAGGTCTGCCCATTGTTCTCTTCTCCAGAAAAGAAAATACAATCACCAGTCAAGAATTTTCATACCTTGAAGAGGCCTGTGGTGTATGGAGGAGGCCAAAACACATTTTGAAATAGAAACAAATCTAAAAGGTTTTCCAATGCATGCGAACACTAACTTTATGAAGCGTACTGGGTATCAAACAGACAGGACTTTTCCAGACTGAATCATTTCTTTTTCAATGCCATTAGAAAGCTCTAGTGTCCCCATGGGCATCCCTATGCATTGCTCACTGTTAAATACCCTACGTCACCACATCTCTTTGTCTTTATAAATAAACTGAGTGGTAAATGTTACAGGATCTTGAGAAAGATCTGTGTCAGGCGCAACCTGTTTGCTGTAATTTTCCATGAGATGTGCCTAATTATTTAGACATGAAAGGCCTTAGTTAGCACTATGTCTGGTGAACACCAGGCACTGCTCATCACCTGGATAATAACATCCCTGTGGTAAAGTATGGTGATGCCAACATCACACTTTGGGAGGGCTTCTCAGCAGCAAGGACAGGAAGACTGGCAAGAACTGAGGGATGGATGAATGTACCTGCTGCCAAAGAGATTCTACAAATTCTAAGCCACTAAAAAAATTATGCCAGTCTAGGAGGTGCAGGAGTGAAGACAGGTCTACAGGGTCATCAGGTGGGCACCCTCTCACTAACTGGTGTTTCGTTGAGTTGGGCCCATGACGCCAAGAAGGCTCAACAGTGTGTTCCACCTTCCCAGAACAACCTCCACCCCATACCTGCACCCACACACCCAACACAACCCTTCATCTACTCAGGCTAATTCAGACTAACTGTTACCAAACAGTCACTAGCACTAACAAACATTTCAACTGCTGTTCAAACCACCAAGCATTTCTAATAGCTCACCAGATAACTAGCCGGACATCTCCTTCCTTTTATACAGCATTAGAAACCACCCTCTGTTAGTATTCATTCCAACAAACCAGACAAACTTGTTCTATGCACTTGTGTTAGCATGCTCATGCTAACACCAAAACGTAGGCCTCAAGCCTGCTGCGTGTATCAAACAGTTTTACTAAGCCTGTCCTTCTGTGCTAGTTTACTTCAGCTTAACAGGCATAATCCTCATATATGTTGCCATTTATAAATCACTTACCTATTATTACCCCATTCATACACTTTTCTTCTGCACCACAGCAACTCACTGGATCTTGCTGCACCATCAGATAGATTACTAATTACTTGTCTTAGACACCGCCCTTTTATACCTAACTCACCTAGCAGAGAGACAGCTGACTTGGCTACAAATCCCCTACAACCAACCTCCACGGGGTGGACTAACGTTCCAGCTCCTCTGCCTCCATGACTCTATCCAGGGCAGCTCAGGATATACCAGCTGCACAAAAGGTAAAGCAGTGTTCTCACAGAAATGTAGTAGCCTAACTGCAGAGCTTTGACCTGGTGCTGTTGCAATAACTGTATTTACTCTCATGAGACTCAGACTGAGACAAGAAAACAACCCCACCACTCCCAGAACCCAAACAAAAGCATAAAATCCTATACTAGAGTCAAACACACATCAGCCATTTATCCATTTTCTGAGAAAATGTGATTATGTTTGAGTGGCAGAAAGCACACGCTTTGCTATTAAAGACTGAGAAAAGGAATGAGAATGAGCACATCCTGTATATCCACATGGGAATGAATAACAACAATGAAGGTGGGTGTGGCAGATGTAGAAAGTATGCCTGTTCACATCTTATGTAGTTGAGTGTATAATTAGATGTTGAAAGAGACTGCAGACAGCTTAATGGGGTTTAATGCCAAAGCGCTTAATGATAATTAAATGCAACTTAGTAGGCTAGGAAAAAAAAAAGAAACAGCCAAGCAAGACAAAAGAACTGTAGACAACATGGCTCTACAATTCTGACTAATAGTAAAGACACCCAACATAATGGTGCTTAGTTTAGAATAAGGAGGATAATAGTAGTAGTAGGATATTGTCTTTCTTTATCTGCAGAGGGGAAGCTAAAATAAACATGAAGAACCAAGAGGCCATGAAGTTTTTTTTTTAAACTTATTATTTTATTTTCCTTCTCTTCTGCATGACTAGGGAATTTATAGTAGGAATATGGAACTGCACACAGACTGCTGTTGGCAAAAACCACTTCACAAAGGTCTGCTTGGCGTATTTCACTGAGGCAAAGGAAAACAAATAAAAGCTGTGACAGTGACCAAAGGAAAAATATGGGTCTATCTGATGCGCTCAAGCACCGCACAGGACTATGAGACAAAAGAGGCAGAACAGCTCTGGAATCTGACAGTGCATTTTTCTCAAACAAGGAAACAAGGTCAGAGTCGCCAAGAGAAAAATGTCAGACTTTGTCTTTTAATCTAGATTTAATAATCTCAAAGATAATCGCTTTATTGTGTGTCTTGGCTTTATATCTAAATAAAATATATCTTCACACAACCTGGAACGCACATGGAGATGATAGTGGTGAGTCAGCAGAGGAGACATATCCTTCCTCTATCCTGCCAGAGGGCCTGTCCTAACATCTATTAGTCACATGAGAGAGAAACAATTCTGGCACGTTGTTCCCAAACTGGGGGGGCTGGAGGGATCCAGAAGAGGGTGTTGAATGGGTCAGTGGCACAAATAATCAACAGTTAAAGTTTACAGGGATTAACTGATTCTTCATAAAGCTACAACTAGTGTTGAAGCAATCCAACATTTAATCAATAGATATAAATTGAGTCCAGATTAGATTAAGGTGTGGCTCACAGTTTTTATGTTAGTCCTTTCCTGTCATGGAACATGTGAGCAAGATAAATGTCCTAAATTCTGACTTTCATGCCAAATGAGTTTTTTTCCTGTCTCTCCATCTTTAATTTGGTTTCTGAATAGAGAACCTGACCAGTGAGTACAAAAACAGTATCCAAGGCAATGGCAACACATACACACAACATACACATTTCATAAGTTAGAGACAGATATTTTTGTCATGCTTTCTTTAAAAAGAAATACTCAAATCAATTTATTGATTATCAAAATCATTTCTGATTAATTTTCTGCTGACTGACTAATGGCTCTACCTAATTTCTTCTCAGCCACTAAGGTCTAGTGAGACTCATAACAAACTGAAACGCCACTCCTAACCGTTGTTTGTCCCCCATCACCTCCTATTTCCTTGTGACGATGTAAACTATAAATGTCTGGTTGTGACAAATTGTACAAAACGCAGCCTCCAGTCTGAAGCTAGTGATAACAAGTCAGTCCAGTAGAACTCTCTGGTTACTGCAAATGTGACACAAAGCACTAATGTTACACAAAGCCTGAATTACTCTGAAATTAAAATCATAGATAGGTTGCTAATTTTACCATAACAAAATGCTAACACATCCAGAAGGAAGAGCACCACATCCGAATCAAATCTTAGTCCTGTGGATGCGTTTAACCCTCTCCATGTCAAAAGGTCAAACCAATGTTAACCATGGCTTCTGCTCTCGGTTTGTCTCACTCTCTCTGTGCAAAAGATTGTGTCACATCTTCACTCTGGCAGCCACTGTTTTGGACTTTTAGCCGATGTGAGGTGCAGATGCTTGACATGACTGCTCACGTTTCTTATAACCTGTGCTAGGTCACAGGAGGGATTAATTTAGGGGTAGAAAAACTGGAATAACAACAAAAGAGCTGTAGACAGCAGAGTCATTTGGGTGTGTGTGGGGTGGGGTGGGGGGAATGTGTAAAATGTAAGTTCATCTTTAAGCATTAAGCAAAAATGCATCTCGTTTCAAATATATAGTCTTCTGTTTTTCAGTACTGTGTGCAATTTTAAATGTCATTGATTAGCATTTTGGACACTTTGAAGGAAACATGCAATCTGAAGGAGGCTCACCATGGGCATTTTTCACCATTTTCTGACATTTTAAACTAGTTATTGCTTCAACAAAAAAATAAATAAATAAATAAACAGATGAACCGACTTACAGTACCAGTCCTACTTCTACCTTCCACGCCACTGACTGTCTATGATCTATACACTTTGCTAATGGTACATCTTTTTAAACTAGTCATGTAACACCATGGCAATGCAGCTGTTGTGCCAGTGAGCAATGAATGAATGAATGAATGAATGACTAAATAAATGATGAGTAAAGCTCACCACACCTTTGGTCTCCACGCTGCCCTGTTGAATGCCTCGTTCAGTTACTCAAGACTTCGCTGCGGACTAGCTCATCCATCACGCTGTCTAGAGGAGTAACAGCTAGCGTGCTAGGACGAGGAACTCCTCCGTCTAACATTAACTAACTTAGCCCCTGAGCCAGTCGAGAGAGACGCTTTAACTACAACAAAACTCACAGTCCTGACACATTTCTACTAGTTACATCTACCTCACTTTTTCATTACCTTGTTAACAAGCCGGGAATGAAATTTCTCCACCAGCAGCAGCGGACCACTTCAGTGCATGTGTGGCAGTTACACCGGCTGTCAATGCCGCCTCTTCACAGGAAAATCAGTCAGCAGTCGAAACAAGTCAACGAACTCCAGAAAAACGCAGGTTCAAAGCAGACACGCGTTTTCACTAAGAGAAATCCTTGTGATGCTTAAAATTACACAGAGTTGGGTTATTTTGTTCACCAGTGGCTGATACGCGCCTCAACTCGCTCTGACGGAACTGATCTCCCGGTGTCAATTCGCTATAGTGAAAACACGCTCACATCCGGTGAAACGTTTCAAATTAAAAGTCTTCACCAGCAGTGAGGGAAGGCTACTCAGACTCTTTACCTAGTAAAAATAGCAGTATCACAGTGTAAAAATACTCCGTGACAAGTATTCAAAATGTGGCTTATATAAAAGTCCTAAATTAGCCTTATAGCATCAAAATATACTAGTACCAAAACATGCAGAATGGCACATTTAACATTAATATCACATTTTTGATTATAATTATTAATGCATTATTGTTTACATCTTTTTAGGATTGCAGCTGGTAAAGGTAGAGCCAATGTTAACTATCATACTGTGTAACTGTGTGTAATGGAACACATGTAATGGAAATATAAATACTCATGCTGTCTATATATTTGTACTACTTAACCTTATGTCTAATTTTCTCTCCCAGACATTCCACACAGGTTCAGTATTTAGACACACACATGGACACTTCATACACATGCTCAGATCCAGTCTCAGCTGCCACACACACACACACACAGCCTGTTGCAAGCAAAGTCTAACTGTCTGGGCCCAGATGCCTAATCTCAAAAGGTGCATATTGAAGGACACATACCTATAACACACTTCTGATTGGTTCCAGCTAATGGTGCGACAGCTGACCAGCATTATACAAAGCCTGACTGTTACTTCTTTCTTTTGTCACTCACTGACTCTTTGCTCTGGATGACCTACTGATCCATCAAGATACTGGTATTGTGTTTATGATGTTATCCGATTGGTTAATAAACCACACAAAGACAACTTCAAAGCCTCTTTATTGATTTCCATAACAATGTATAGCTTGTACATTTCCCAGCAGGATCAATAAATTGTTATGATTACACTGTATTTTGTTTTATTAAAACTAACAAGTTATCAAATAAATGTAGTGCAATAAAAAGTACCATATTTGTCTCTAACATGTAGTGAAGTAGCAGAAAATGAAAATATTCAAGTAAAGTACAGATACCTCAGTACTTGAGTAAATGTAGGCACTTCATTACTTTCCACCTCTAAAAAGTACCATCACCATATCTTCAGAATTCTCTATTACTGTAGAGGTTCTGGATACAAAATCTTTTTTAAGTAAAAGTATATACATTTTCTTGGCAAAATGTACTGAAAGTATCAAAAGTAAAGGCATGGATGGATTACTGAAGGGGCCTAAGTACAGGCTTAGGGCTCAAGGGGGCCCCTTGAACAGAGTGTCATGCCAATAGGAGGACTATGAAATTACTAGGACAGCAAAAGCCACAAAACAAGAAGAAAGAGATGCAAAGCAAAAGAGACAAAATTACTAAAAAGAGACAGAAGAGATCTCAAAGATTACAAATTACATGGTGTCTCAGTCCATGAGACTTAGAAGTGTTTTTTACATGTCTGTGGCCAGACATAAAGCATACCAAACATAACAGCTTGACACACATCTAGATTTACATGGATATAGACTTTGCCTTTACTTTAAAGTCAGCATCGATGAAATTCCGATGTTACTCGATTAATTTCAGCGAGCTTGTCGTTATGTTCCGACAGATGTTGCTGCGCGTGCGTATTTGATGATTCATATTTCTATTGAAGGCCTGAAGGAAGGCATCGTCATGCCCACGGTCTCTAACATAACCAGAAAACATCAGTGAAAGCGTTTGTTAATTATTTACCATAATGTCTCGGAAAAGTTTCTCTAAAACGTGATCTGACATTTGAATCGCAAAATGAGGACACAGGATGTAAGTTAGGCTGCTCAAGTGGCTTTATCAGAAATGTTAAAGCGCAGTTTAAAGAGCTCAACAATCTTTCATATTCACTATTACCCTCATTCTACAGAAAAAAATCTATTAACCAGACAATCAAGCAATCAAAAGAAAACTAATTATCAATAATTCTGATAAATTATTGATGATTAAGCAGGTTGAAAGTAACTCAAATACTGCACTTAATTAAAATTTCGAACGACCTGTTTTATTTTCTGCTACTTCATACTTCCATTAGTTGTATTTTAGAGGCAAACATTGTACTTTTTACTCCATTACATTTGATTGATAGCTTGGGTTGCTTTTTAAAATCAAGTTAATACAACAAAGCCCAATGTAATCATAAGACTTTACCGATCGCAGTGGAAAATTCACAAGCTACTCAGCTACTCAATATTTTGTACTTTTATTTAAGCAGCATTTTGAATACAGGACTTTCACCTGTAAGAGTATTTTATAGGCTACTGTAATATTCCTACTTTTTAAAGAATCAGGGCAATTAGGTTCAGTTTAGTGCACTTTCCACCAAGTGAACTAATAATTATATGGCATTATTTTTGAAAGTAGCCTTTACTTCTAGTGTCTAAACATTCTGCACAATATGTTGCTAAAACTGTCTGGGACAATAATATTTTAACATTTTGCCAGTAGTAAATTACAGTATGCATTGTGCAAAAAGCCACATCAGTATGCTCTACCTTACAGTTAACATTATGCACGGAGAAAGAGTGACCCCTACTGTTGGCTTGCTATTAAGATTAATTTTCTTCTTCTTTGGAGATTTTTTTGACATCTGGCATTCCAGATGTTGCATTATTGCCATCTTCTGGGTTCACTGTCCTCCCACAGTTTCCAGTTTGTTAGATTCTGTTGATCAGTCCAGTTAGTCTTATAGGAAAGTGATCAAAGTTTTTCTGCTTTGCCCCATACAATCCAGTATGATTTTTAATCCTAATACTTCATGCCTACTGAGTACGCTTACCATATTTTTCCGTTATGCTGTGTACACTTTACAGCCTTCAGCAGTTTCTAAATTCTGACAACTTCAAATCCAGTTGGATGTTTCTCTACTGTGTTACATTCATTGTGCCCTATATATAATCTGGTTATAATTAGGCTACCTGTCTCTTCTAATTTCATTTTGACATACCAGTCTAGGTCCACGAACTAAATAAAGGGAATTGTTTGGACATAACGTTAGATGGTTAAGGTTATTGTTGGAGAGCAGCCTATAGGTCTATAGGTTATCTTTATAGACAGTCACATGAGAGCAGTGGTTGGACCCGCCACTCACTGAGCAGAAGACTGGATTTGTTCGCCGCTGCCTGGTTGGAGAAAAGCTCCGCAGTATTGATAAGTTGGTTTCTTGTCGATAATCTGTCAATATAGTAGGTGGCAGTAATACTTCTTAACGTTGGATGCCACCAGCCATTAAATAAAAGAAGAAGAAGAAGAGTTAATCTGTCAACGTACAAGTCTGAGGGGAGGAGCATAGCCTAGCAGGTTGTACTGTTGAACCAACCAGGAAGTCAACAAAGTTGCTAATTAATGTCACTTCCACTTTGTTTTCTCTACAGTAACGTCAAACAACGGAATGAGTTCTGCTGACTCTCCGGTAAGCTGCAAATGAAGGATCTTCCCTTGACATGACGCTGTCAAAACCTCACAAAAATATGAGCCTGCTAGCTGCCTTAGCTTTAGCCTCGGCTAACTATTAGCGGCTATGCTAACGTTGTTTGTTGACTGCCTTCACTGTAACAAAGGCGTTACAACATACCTAGCGTTAACGGAAAGTTAACTTGTGATCTTTTGCTTAAATTAAGTTCGCCGAGTTAATTTAGGATTGCTGTATTTACCCGGACACAGGCTAACCAACTATAAGAAACTTCACAAACTAACTTAGAAATCAAGAGTTTAATAGCAGGTCAGTCCCGTCTAGATTCACTGAAAGACGCACAGTGAGAAACATATGTCAATTTGCAGTCCATGGTAAAACATAGTTAATTGTATCAGTAGCTGTTATTCATTTTAGTTAAGACGTGGATTGTATTCACAAACGGAAAAAACGGTGCAGGTAGACTTCAGAACTTGCTTGAGAATATATTTTTTTAAGATTATTCAATATCAAATTAATTCAGTGATAGTTATCAGTACATCTAATGGTACACTGCAAAAATGAACTATTAAGGCTATCAGGCCCAAGTTGCAGCCCATAGTGTAAATCCTTGTATTCATAACAAAATTATACGTACTGTAAAATTTTCCCACCAGACAAGGCAGTAGTAAAACTGGAACCGAGTCCTTGTTTGCCTGTCTTTTTGATTTGTTAGACAGCTGCTCAGTGTTCTGCATTTGATTTTGTTTTGCAGACTATTGGGGAGTTAATCCTCATCCTCAGTGAGATGGGTTTCACAGAGGAACAGATCCAGGCAGCAGTGCAGGCGGGGAATTTTTCTGTACCGGAGGCAGCTGAGTGGTGAGTTGACCCAGCAGTTTTTCTCAACACCATGTGGTTACTACCATTCAATAATATCATTTTAGCTTCTAAAAGATGATGGTGTCAATTCTGTGTCCCTCTCTCATGTGTTGATAGGCTCTTACAGGGTCAGTATCCACGACACACGCTGTTAAAGTCAGCATCACAGTCAGCTGAAACAGCATTTTCTGCTTTCAACCCACCCAAAGAGGCAGCAGGGACTTCAGGGTCACATACATCGGCCACCGAAAGCCGAGGTAGGGTGCCAAGAAGTTCGACTATACAGTATCAGTTACTTACTTTACAGATACTGAGTTTGGGTAAGACAGTATAAGCCTGAAGGACTGGATAGTTTATGATTCAAAGTCATAATGTCATTAGATTAGATTATGACTTTGTAACAGCATGCCTCTCATTGGGGCTGACACTGACTCAATCATGCATCCTGTGCCCAGAACCACTCCCACTTGAGTCACGCATCAAACAAGACAAGACCGACTTTTCTGAGCAAGAAAGACAACGTGCTGTTCAGGAAGTCAGAGCAGAGAGAAGACAAAAGAAACAGGTCAGCAGTGCTGCTATAAGGACATCTGGTCCCAAACAGTGCTAACTAGGCCAGACTACCACTCTGATGGTGATCAGGCAGAGAGAAAATCTGTCTGATTCTTCATCTTAAAAGAGCGCATCTTATGTGTTTTGTACTGTCAGGAGCGGGAGTCGGTGTTAAAGCGGATAGCTGAGGATCGGAGGACTTTGCAGGAGAAGACTCAGACCAATGCTGTCACGGAGATGTGTCCTCCCAGTGGTCAAGATCAGAAGCTTGGCGGAAAGATTCAGACAAATGTGGATAACAACTGCTTTCTCATGGTGAGGCTGTGAAGAGCTGTAATTATTGATGACATATCTGTGAATTATAAATTGTAATAATTATTATAAACTAGGAAAATCAAATTATAGAATTCAGTTGTTTAAACCATGTTTTTGTGTTTTGATACAGATTCGGCTGCCATCTGGTGAGTCAGTGCGTGAACGCTTCCCAGCTGATGCCCCTTTGCGCAGCGTCGTGGAGCACATCACTGGACGTCACCCATCCCTACCCTCATTTTCTCTCCTCCAGAGTTTCCCTCGTAAATGCTTTGGGGAAGCCGAGCTTGCTTGCTCGCTGCGCTCTCTTGGCCTCACACCCAACGCGGCGCTATGCATTCAGACTACTCCTCCGGAGACACCTCAGGATCCTCCAAGTCATGCAGCTCCATCATCACTAGGACAGAATGAGCCATCTCCAAGTGCTGCTCCACCTCAGCCTCATATCCCTGTCTTGGAGAGGGCAGAAGGTCAGGACCTTGTTCTACCCCCTCCACTACCCAACCAGCTGTGGGAGGAGGCAGTTAATTTTGCAGGGATCCCTGGAGTTGGTAATTCGCTCTCCGGGCCATCTCACTTCTGGGGTAGGTATTACATACTTCTGTTAGTTAACATAGAAATAGGAAATATTTCATCATAATACAATGTTGACTATGATTTAAAGCTGTTTAGTCAATGAGCGACATTCCTGGTGCTCAACAGGTCGTGGACAGAGGTTGGCTCCTGAGGATGCGGCTGGCATAGAAGTTGGAGAGGAAGACCCCCCTCACTTGCTTCATGGTACTGCTCCCTGTGTCTGCAGTTGATGCAGCACATCATCCCTCTTTTGAATTACATTTTGCTTGTTTCCCCTCTTCCCCTAACAGGCGTAATCTGACTATTTTAGTTTCCGCTTGGTGCTCTTAGAATATCCTAATGGATTACAATTGTCACTTGTGTAATTTTCACAGAAATCCCAAGGCTGCCTTTGTTTCCGGACAACAGGATTCAAGGAGGATTTGAGCCCAGGCATCAGTGGCCAGAGCAAGGCAATCGACTCAGGTGGGTGCCTAGACAGACTGGCCCCAATGTAATGTGTGAATTGTGATTTCTTCAGGCAATCTCACATTAACCACAGATGCCACCTCATGGTGGCACTAGGGAAAAACCTCTTCTGGGAACCATGCATATTAAACCACTGTATTAAATGTCATCAAATAGTTGTTGACATATTTCAGTTGCAAAAATATCTCTACCACAAAGCATTTTCTATGTATGTTCAAATTATAGTAAATTGAAAAACAATTGCTTGCATGTTTCAGGGAACCTCCAGCAGAGCCTGAGGATGCAGATCGGATGGCACCTGTAGCTGCAGGTCTGGCTGCGGTGGAGCGTTTTCAAAGAGCTGCACAGCAGGAAGATGCCTGTGCCTCACAGGGACAGCCATCACCACCTAAAAGACCCTTTAGGACACCAAGCGTGCCATCCCTATGTGCCTTGAGTACCCGTGCAACAGTCCACCTCATGACTGGTGAGAGCCCACATAGGGTATCCAGAAATTCTAGAAAATGTGTCTCGTTGCTTTCCTTACTCGCCGTGGTCATTCTTGGCTCTGTCTCTGCACTCTCAGCTCCCAGTATGCAGTACAGCAGCAGTCTGGCCTGCCTGACCCCAGAGCTGGCAGAGATTCTGCTCAACTACATGGCTCAGGAAAGGCTCCTACGTCCACGCAGCCTGGAGCTCTTCTTTGGCTGTCCGTTGCAGAAGTTTGTTCTTAACTGCTACCCTTACTCCACCAACGAGCTCCTACGGCAGTTAAGGGCATTCACAGCACTGAAACATCTGAGCCTGGTCAACTCACCTCTCATCACCGGTATAGCATTTTATCCTGCAATATAGTTTCTAGACTATTTCTCACTTATGTTTTTTCCCTGTGTAAACCTTTTGGAACAAGTTTCATCTTAATCTCCTGAACTTGTTCTGTCTAGACTCTGGCCTGTCAGTCCTGTCCAGCCTGGTTAAACTCCAGTACCTCAACCTTGCTTCCTGTAGCAAATTGACTGACTCCTGTCTGCAGCATATCACAGGTTGGGCTTTCTACAGATAGTCTTGTGAACTGTTGGACTGTTATTAAATGGGGAAAATGAAC